TCCATGATTGGTTTGTACAATCACCAAAGATTTCATATAGTTAGAAGGGTCCTTGCCCTCGTAGATTTGCTGTGCCTAGCAAATGCTGGCAATGTACTCCAGCAATCCATCTAGCATGGTGGTGCTTGAGGATAGGCAGCAGAAATGCCTGATGATGAGGGTGTTCTAGTCAGTCCTTGGCACCATTTTAGTTCTCCGATTGAGGGGGTGTTGAACTTTATCCAAAAGTAAAATAAGGATTAAAAACACAGTTGATTATGTTATGTTAGAATATACTCAAACCACAAACTAAAATATTGCTTAATTTGCTTATCTTCTTTAGAGGTGGATATATTCTAAGTATATGCTCTCTAGATCTATATTCTGTAAAAAACATTGCTACACATTACATGTAACAATGCTTGATTTTCTTAATAGTAGTGTTATTCTTATTTATTAATCTAATTAATTAAATAAAATTTATAATTATAATCATGTTTGCAATTTATAAACACAAGATTAATCTTATTGTATATCAACCATTAGATGATAGAATAAAAAAGAATATACTAAAAATGGTTTTAAAATTTTATAAATTATAAATATAAAAATTAATTTAAATGAATAACAACTTTTCGATGGTAGAATATCCTAAAATATCCAAACATTCCTAAAATATCCATATTTTAAATATATTAATATTTTAATATTTTAAAATATATCCACTACCATCCCTACAAGTTTGCTTACATGAAAGTGTTGTCACAGCTGTAGCTCCCCTTTGGGACAGGGCAAAAGTATGTTGTAGTACTGGTGGAATCACACATTCCAAGTCTGGATGCTGTTAATTACATTCTAGGGTGGTGATTTTATTTTCAATGTTCTTGCTCCTTGTTCTCTCATTCTTTTCTTCAGTTGTCCCAGTGGTCTCATGCCTCCAGCAAGACCCTCCAAAAACATGTATTAGTGACAAGTAGAAATGATTGTAATAGCATAACTAGCATTTTAGTGACTAGCTTTGTTGTCAAGTTTCCATGTTTTTCTGGCACCTACAAGAGACCCGGATAGTGACCACTGGCAATACCATCGCACCAATCTTCTTTTTGTTATCAAAACAACATTGCAAAAGCACTAAAGGTCGTGATTAAGGCCTGTGCTTTTGGAAAGTTTGATCTCCTTGAAAAAAGAGTAGTTTAGTTTTTTTCCTAACTGCTCAGTCTTCACTTGCCGAAATTCCTCTAAGATTGCTGTGTCTTTTCTTGAGTTCTACCCCCCGAAATTCCTCTGAGCTCCTCATAAATGTTGGCAAGTAGATTGCAATCGGAACTTTTGTAACTTGCGGACATGGAATTAAAAGCACAAAATATAGGATATCTTAAAGTGAAGCGACAGTGGTTGCCTCCTCCGTGAGAAGCCGCCTTGAAAACCCTAGTATCACAATCTCTGTAGGGGTAGAATGCACAATACAGCACACCCCCCCCCCCCTTATTTAGGGTGGGCCCCATTTGCTTATCTGGATTTGCACGCCACCTCATTGCTTACATGCGCATGCCACCTCATCACTATAAATTAAAGATTGTTCTAGTATATTATTTTCAACTATTTTTAAGTATTTAAAAGTACAAAATCAAATATATTATTTATTCTACTATAACAGCATTATCTTGATTGTATAGCTTAATATGACTGCATAGAATATTAAATGCAGCTTCCTTTCTTTCAATATATATTTTTCTCCAAATATATTCTTGAAAGTAAGAGCTGTATAATCCTTTTGTTGTACCATAGCGAGGAAGGGATCTTTTCACTGCATCCCATGTTGATTCAATACGATTTGTATGAACTCCAGTCACGGGATCAACAAAATTCTGGGAGTGGTTGACTATATAATGAGTGAAGTTCAATTGATTCAACCACTCTGAATCATAACCAGCCCAACAATCACTATAAATAATTGTTCCTAACAAATTAATTATAATTATTAGTTAAGAATAATAATAGAAATAAAACTTACTTGGGTATATAATATATCAGTTAAAGTTTGTGCAGTACAATCTGCTACCGGAACCATAAACATTCGATCTGAATCACGTTCAATTCCTCCAAAGACCCATTGACCTTCTACTCTTCTACCACGATTATATTTCCGCTTACCAAACTTACTTTCATTAATTTCTACAATTCTTCCTGGACCACCAATCTTTTGACTACCTCGTTGTAATGTGATAACACAAATATCACGACAAAAGTTGTACTAATTTGTTGTCGTATGCTCACTTTTAATACTACACTCAATATGAGCTTGATCTTGTGGCATTTTAATGCACCAACAATATATCACTCTAAGCATTTGAGCAAATGTGAGATTACTATTTGCAAACCATGTATTAGTTCTAAGAGATCTTGTGGTATTGCAATTTTTACAATTCCACTTTAAACCATCTTTACAACCTCGATTATGATGGCATTTTTCACATTCTCTCTCTTGTGGAAGAAGACCAATCATAATACAAAAACTAAAAGAATTTACCTTACTATTAGTTCTCTCAATAAGATCAGAAAAAGAAAGAATACTATCTTGAGCATGATCTACATATTCCAATCTAGCCATAATACTAAAGAGAATGAATAAAATAAGAAAGAAAATATAAGGAGCACAAACATAAAACACAATGAGGAAAGACCTAAACCAATCGTAGGTTATATACTTATAAATTATAGCCGCTCATTCACTGGCTAATTATAAAATTATAGTCGTTAACATATCCGTTAACAACATCTACTAATTAAAGTTCAACGTTACTAATTTAGAGTTAGTCGTTAAACTTTTAGGGTGCAGAGCTGGGCGTGACTAAGCGCGCCACGGAAGAAGCGAGGAGTGAGCGTGGCAAAGGGGCAACCACATAAGAGTGAGGGGTGCTGTATTATGCATTTCTTCCCTCTGTAGATCTGTGACAACAGGGGAAATCCATTTCTGAAGAGGAGAAAACTAAGAAGTGTTTCTTACCTTGTCAAGTTCTTCTACGTTTGGCTCCGCCAGACGAGTCTTCGATCATTTCCTGGAAAGCAGGAATAAGAGTTTGCCTCACAAGTCACCATGTTGAGAGGATGAGCACTCGTGACTCCTTTCAGCTCCGTCCGAAAGAAGAGTTCCAAAGCGATAGCCATGCCAGCTTCTAAAGCACGGAGTTTGACAAGTTTGCCTATCCAAACTAGCGCAAGCTTTCAACGCAGCCACAAAGCTTAGAAAACCCCGGATCGTTCCATGAATGGAAACAGCTCGACTCGAGAACCAAGCCCGTGTGCTCCGTATCCAAGCATCAAACTGTTCCATGACGCAGTCGAAAAATCCAGTGCCCTGTCGAACACTCCGCGAGCGTGCACACTCGGCACGGGCTCGGCACACATACGAATGAAAACCGCTCGGATTTTCACCGACTCAAACTTGATCACGCGTTTCTTCTCAGTCGCATCCAGTATGCTATCTTCCTTCGGCTGCCAGGAGCGACCAGGCCTTCAACGCAGCCACAATCGTTCAAGGATGGCTGACAGTAAATAGTTCTCATGCGTGAAAACAAATCGAGAGCAATGCGTGGCTCGCCGTTTTTTCAGTGTAGGCCTGGATCATAGTCGGAGCTCGGAGGAATGAACGCCTGTCAAACACGGCACTTCCATCTTCAACAAGGTGCTGACAAAGGCATCTGTGTCACAGCCACAGCTCGTCGCTCTGGACATCGTGCATGGAAATGCCGACAGATAGATCCTGAGCTTCACCATTTTTCCATCATCAACCTTTAGCGCCTTGATTGTATTTACAGCCAAACTCTGCGCCATTTGCCATACATTGTGATGAGAATACTTGCGCATAAGTGGCTTCTCGGCAGACTCTGTCCTTCTTGCCCTCTGCGATGTGGATGCCGCATACCTTGATCGCTCCTTCCATCTTTCAGCGCTCTGGACTGATATTCTTACCTTAAACCGCACAGGATTAGTGGGAATCTACGCTGTTTAAGCTAACCCAGCCTTTACTTTAGTGCATATATAAATAAGGTCAAGTCCTTTGGGGTCCTTTACGAGCTATGGCGAGAGGAAGCAAGAGAAGTAGAGAAGACGATGGTATCATGGTGCTGACAAAGAAGCGTCGACTGAGAAGCGAGAGGGCTTGCAAGCTCACAGCCGAGGAGGTGAGGGATCAAAACTTGTACGGCGTGTGGGAGTACCACGACCTTCCGGACAACGTGTACCAGTGCCCAAGGTGCCAATCTTACAACACGCGGTTCGATTACTACAACAACGAGAAGAGTACTGGCAACCGTGACCAGCCGCGCTACGCTTGTAGGTCGTGCAAGGGAAAATGGACACAAGGTGGCAAGGTAAGGGACGTATCGCAATCGCCCACTGGTGGAAATAAGAGAACTTTAAAGAGCCATGGGGGAGACAAGATCGCTCCAGTCGTCCAAGAAGAATTTGTAGGCGAATCATCTCAAGTTATGGGTGACTGTGTTGCGGGTTTTGATCAAACTATTTATTGGGAGCAAAGTCATGGTGTTAGTGATTGTGCCCAACCTTTCTCTCACGAGGGTTTTGATCAAAACTGGAAGCTTCTGCCAGGCTTGGGTCAAGGGCCTGTTGGTGACTGTGTGCAAGAAGTGTTTGCTCAAACTAGCGAGCTTAGCGATGGAGTGTTTGCTGATCAAGTTAGTCAGGAGTTTGTTGGTGGGGTTCAAGGTGGAGATGTGCAAACCAGTTGCTGGGGGCAACCTCAAGAATTCAACGATGTGTTTCTTGATATTGAGGGATTTCTGGCAGACCTGCCAGAAATACAGGCTTGCTGATTCATGGGAATTTTTGTCAAAAGTATTTATAGTTGGATCCCAGGGTTTCCAGATTTGTTTGATGAATAGAAGCCTATAAGCCGCAAAGATAAGAAAAAATATATACTTTTTCTTTCTCCTCTCTCTCAAAATAGTTTCCTGTCCACCAGTACTCCGACGAAGAAGGAGCTCACAGAAACCGCGACACTAGTTGCTCCCAGGAACCCGGAGGAAGCCTTGCCCTGCTTTCCCACCACTTTGTCCTTGCCACTGCTCGTCTCCTCCTCCACAACTCCCGCGGAAGAAGCCGCTCCTTTCCTCCTCCTCGGCGTTGCCTTGAGAGCTCAAATCTCTGGAGATACTTCTCATCTGTGACGAAGATGAAAATCGATGTCTTAGCAGCAAGCGAGGAAGAAGGAGAGAAAACTGTAGAAGTATGGTTCCTTACCTCGACTTCTTCAACGGCTGACTCTGGCAAACGCTCCATTTACGTGGATCTCACTCAGCTTCTTACGAAGATCCTCTCTCTCGCCTTTGACACTAGATATCTGGCGTCCATCACAAAGTATTAGAAGGAAAGAAGACGACCAATCAAGAGTTACCTCATTATCCAGCAGCTGCTTTTCCTTGGAAAACTCTTCGCTCATCGCGCTTAGCTTGGCGAGGAGCGACTTGGTCTCCGATGCGTAGCCATCTCGCTGCTGGGCCTCGCTCTCCTGCATTCGCGAGATCGTCTTCTCCTGCTCAGAAATGAGTCGGGCTGCTTCGTCCAGTTTTTCCTCCAGAGAGCTCGCCACACCTTGGACCTTCGCGAGCTCTGCTTGAAAGTTTGATGCCATAGCCTCGGCTTCCTTCTCGAGCTCTTGCACCTTCTTACTTTCAGCGTCTTTGGATCTCGCAGCCTCTTGTTTGGTGGCCTCGAGCACTTCCTCCGCTCTGGTCTGATTACTTACCGATTTTGAACCAAGAAAGATTCTTGAAGAAAGTCCAGAAATCGCTAAACAATACCAACCTCCTATGCCTCTTAAGAATCACGCAAGGCAAATCATGAGGGCAGGATATATCCTGGGCGCTTCTACATTTTAAACCGGCTAAGAGTTCTTCGTTCCTAGATTACTACCTCAACTTTTGCAGTGTAGAAGTCCAGGCTTAATTCACTCTGGCTCTTACAATGATGAAACTGAAAGACCTGGAGCTCTTCATGCAGAGTGCGTTGCGTGAATACGAGGTGCTTCAAGGCTTTGTTTTTGAGGAGCTTTCCATTGCTTATGTAACGAGCTACGCTGCCTATGGTGAGCTACTGTTCCTTTCTTACATTACAAATTCTTGTTGTTGATAGGTTGATGATATCTATGCCGGGACCAGTAAGCCGGACGAGTTTGTACTCTGCTTGCTCCTGGTGGAATCCAACTATGACGAATTCGGCTTCCAGAGCTACTGCGACAAGTCCCGTAGGGTAACAAAACAAGCTGAAAGGTTCGTTGCATATGCTTTCACTGCAAGCTGCTCATACTTAAAGGAACAAACGATGCAGGTATTCGCTTGTGCAAAGTGCTGCTGCGGTACAATGTTCCCGTTCGATGTGCGGAGGAGATGGAGATTCCCAAGGGTGTCGAGACGGTCTAAGACATCGAGCAGTGCAAGTTTGACGGTGAAGTGTGCGAAACTAAGTTTTTTGATCCAGGGGACCTCCGACGAGACGAGGAGGTGAGTACGAACAAGAAGCGGAAGTTTGCCTACTTGTTTAAACTAGAAAGTTTGCCAGCTTTCTCCCCTTAACTCTTTATGAGTATGGGGTTAGGGTTTAAGCAAAAGGAAGAAATAGAGGGAAAAAGGAATCCTCGAAATTCTCCAGGAGATTTCTGGCGCTCCTCCACGCCGCTACCGCAGATCCGGAGCGGCACAAGGTGAGATCATGGATCGCCGCTCTCAAGTCGTCCAGAGATCTACAACAGGTGAGGGAAATCCATGCGCTCGCGGCCGCCGGGGGCAAGCAGCTAGATTCCTCGAGCGTCTACCTGGGCAACACGCTGGTGGCCGCGTATGGCAGGCTGGGCAGCACGCTGGAGGCGCGGGCGCTCTTCCAGAGGATGGAATCCCACACGGTGGTGTCGTGGAATTCTCTCATGCTGGGGTATGTGGGAAATGGCGAGTCCTCCGCGGCCTTGGAGTGCCTGGAATCCATGCGAGCTCGGGGATTTCTTCCGGATGCCAGGACCTTGGTCGTGGCTCTCAAAGCTTGCGGTGGAAATGGATCCAGGAGAGTTGATGGAGCTATGGGGGGATTGGAGAGAGCCATGGCTCTCCACGCTCTGGCAGTGAGCTCTGGCTATGGCGGGGATATCTACGTGCTCAACACGCTGGTAGCGGTGTATGGAAGGCTGGGAAGCTTGGCAGATGCTAGAAGCGTCTTCGAGGGGATGGAAAACCCGGACGTGGTGTCGTGGAACGCGATGATCCAGAGCTACGCTGATAACTTCCGGGAAGAGCAAGCTTTGCAGCTCTTTCAGCGCTGCTCCAATGCGAACTCTCAGAGCTTTGTAGCGGCAGTGAAGGCTTCCACTCGTCTTCCACGGCAAAGAACTCTTGCTCTAGAGACCGGGATGGCTCTTCACGCCCGAGCTCGGGAGAGTGGCTGCGAGTCCAACGTTTTCGTTGGAAGCAGCTTGATCGACATGTACTCGAGCTTCGCGAGTATGGCCGATGCGCACAGAGTGTTCCAGGCGATTCCTCGCAACGACGTCGTCTCGTGGACGTCGCTGGTGCTCGGCTATGCCGAGAACGGCGAGCCGGAGCTGGCTCTCGAGTTTTTCCAGGACATGCAACGTAAAGGGGTGGTGCCAAACGCTCAGGCTTTCGTCGCGGCATTGAAAGCTTGCGCTGCTCTAGCGGCGCGATCCACAGCGAAGCCGGACGAGGCTACTCTCCAAAGAGCTATGGCTCTACACTCTCAAGCTCTCGCGGGGGGACACTGCTCCAACATCTTCGTCGCCACGTCGCTGGTGGATCTCTACGCCAACTGTGGAAGCATGGCGGATGCCCAGAGAATTTTCGATGCGATGGACCAACTCCAGCGCACGTCCTTGGCTCTCTGGAACGCGCTGCTGCTCGGCTACGCTGAGAACGGGGATCCAGAACTGGTGCTAGAGTTGTTTCCAGAGATGGAGCTAGAGCTACAGCGAAACCAGCTCGGTCGGCCAAACTCCCGGAGCTTTCTGTGCGCGTTCAAGGCCTGCGGTGCTGCGGTGGCTCTCTCCACCGGTAAAGCTTTCCACGCCAGAGTTTGCCGGCTCGGTCTACTCGAGAAGCCCGATTCGGTTCTAGCGACTTGCGTGGTGGATTTCTACGCGAAGTGTGGCAGCCTCGACGATGCCCAACAAGTTTTCGACTCCCAGCTCTCCGGAAGCACCTCGACCATCACCTGGACCGCCCTGATGGCCGGCTACAGCAGGAAAGGTGACGCTACTCGGGTGCTCGAGCTCTACCGGGAGATGGAGGCCGGAGGGATAGAGCCGAGCTCGGCCACGCTCCTGTCCATCCTCACGGCTTGCAACCACGCCGGTAAGCTCGAGGAGGCCAAGCTTCTCTTCGCGGCAATGCGCACCAAGTATGGGATCACTCCGGGGATAGAGCACTACCATTGCGTTATCGATGTGCTTGGGAGAGCCGATGATGTGCGAGGTGCGCTAGAGATGGCGAGCGCGATGCCTTGCGAGGCGGATGCTGTGACTTGGATGACTTTGCTAGGGGCGTGCTGGAAACGAAAGGATGCAGCTATCGCGAAGGTAGTGTTTGATGCGCTGCTAAATCGTGATGGAAGTAGCAGCGTGGCTGGAGCTTGCTCGATCATGGCCAGCATTTATAGCTAGCAACCATCGTAGATCATTAGATTCAAGCCTGTTATCCATGGTTGGAGCTTGTCTACTTCGTTGTCTGGAACGAGTAGAATCACGAAAACAGTAAGTGATGAACAGGAAAAATATGAACCTCTCAAAAGGTGGCTGTCACTGCAGAGAACAAGCTCTTAAAATCTGTAGTTGGCGAACCTTCTTCTTCGGCCTTGGAAGCAATATCAAAGGCTTTGTTCTTGGCTTCCTCGTGCAGTAAAGCCTAGAAGATTGGAAGAAAAGAATAAGCAAAAGTAGTGCTAGACTTTCTCAGCTGTGAGTACCTGGATGCACACTTCCGCCACATCTTCTCTTGGGATGCTCTTGGTGCTAGTGTTCAGCAGTTCGTCGTCTTTGCCAACGATAAGCTCGCGCTTGCCTCCTTCCTTATCGATCAATCCACCAGGCCTGTTGTTTTACAAGAGTTACAATGGAGCAGCCCCAAGATCAAGATCATATACCGGATGATGGTGTACGGCAGTCCAGATTCGGACAGATATTTCTCGGCTTTCCTCTTCCAAATCTATACAATGCGATTCATGTTAAAAAAGAAACCTTGAATGCCGAAGAGAACAACTTACTAGGATTTTTCCATTCCCCAGTAAGTTCAAGGGGTGATTTTCGTTGGTTCCACCCATGGAGCCGACGAGCACGACGTGCTTGACACCTGCATCTTTTGCTGGAAAAGAAAAAGTGCTCTAAGAACACGTCACGGATGTGTGGAGGAAAGAGAGCAAGAAAAAAACAGGAACTTTGTGTTCTTACCAGCATCAATTTGATTCTTCTGGCCAATCCAATCCACCTGGAGACAATGGAGAAAAAAGAGATGAGAGATCACAGGCAGAGAAAAGGAGAATGACCGTCATACCTCTTCCGGTGTGCCTCCCTCTTCGAAGTAGAACTCGGGCCTTCCACCGGACGCTGGATTGAATCCCGGCTTCATCTTCGGCACAGCGCTGGTGAGGATGACGAGCGAATCGACTCCATCGAACGCGGGAGGGAGAGTCTCCGGCTTGGTGATATCTCCAATCCGGACATCACCACTGCCATCCTGATCAATCTTCTGCTTGCTTGCTTCGGATCGAACAAGCCCACGAGCACGAAACTGTCCGGCACGAGCTCGCAGCTTCTCATACGCGAGCTGCCCTGTTCGTCCTCCCGCCCCGGTCACCAGCACCACCACCATTTTCGCTCCTCCGCGAAGAGAAAAAGAGTAAAGAACCCTCGCGAGTGATGTCACTTCGTCTGGACTTTCCAAGCAAGACCATCCTCCATGATCTCTAGAGGCTCCTCCATAGAGTTCCAAGGACGAGTCTCTCGTTTCCACAGCTCGCCCTCGACCGGGACTCGATCCTTCTCAGAGCTTCCTCGCTTGTTCTGTGGATATTACACCCAGCGAGCAGTGACTTCCAAGCTCCAAACTTTAGCCTCGACTCCACCGGCATCGTCTCCACGAGCTCCTCTGCTTCGTCCAGCCTCCCGGCTCGTCCCAGCAGATCCACCACGCACACGAAGTGTTCTACCACCGGCGGTATCCAGTGGTCCGAGCTCATAGATCCAAACTGGTAGATGGATTCCTCCAGCAAACCGGCCCGGCTGCAACCGATGAGAATGCTCACAAAGGTGACGGTCCCGGACAAGCACCCCTCCAAGTTCATCCTCCGGTAAAGATCGGTAACTTCCGCCATATCTCCGTGCTGTGCATACGCCGCGATCATGGCGTTCCACGACACCGGATCCTTGCGCGAACTCTTGCAGCTCTCGAAAACTCTCCTGGCGTCGCCCACGAATCCAGCTCCTGCCAGCATCTTCACGAGCGTGGTGTCGACCACCTCGGACTCCAGCCCCGCCGAGACGAACCGCCCGTGTACCGCCTTGGCCTGGTCGAGCTCTCCCAGGCTCGAGCACGCCTCGAGGACGCTCCCATACGTTGCTACGCTCGGCTCCACGTCCATCCTGTGAAAGAGCTCGAGCGCTTCTTGAGGACGCCCGGCCTGGACGTAGCCCGAGATCATGCTATTCCACGATCCGGAGTCTCTCGCCCCCACCATCTCCTCAAAAACTCTCCTTGCGTAGTCCAAGCGAGCACACCTTGCATACATGCGCAACAGCGTGTTCTTCACGACCACGTTGGCCTGTCCAATGGAGACTGCTCGCTCGTGGACGCGTTTCCCGAGTTCCAAGTCGCGAAGATCCGAGCAGGCTCCAAGGATGCTGGAAAACGTGAAGCTGTCCGCGAGAATGCCTTCCAAGTTCATCCGGTAGTAAAACCCGATGGTGGCCCTGCTATGCCCGAGCTGCACGTACGCACCCAGCATGGCGTTCCAAGTCACAGTGTCTCTGAGCTCCAAGCTCTCAAAGACCCTGCTCGAATCGTCGACGCTACCCCACCTCGCGAAAAAGGTGACAAGAGCAGCTCCCACTTCCTCGGGGAGAGAAGACTTCGCAGAAAATGCACGAATGTGGCTCTCGATTTCCTGTACTTCGTCCACTGAACAGCACGCGCTTAGTGCAGCAGCAAAGATGGATCCGCTCTTCGAAAGCTCGCTATCGTTCTTCTTGGACCACCACTCTTGATAAAGCTCCAGCGCTCGAGCTTTATCTCCCTCCTTGGCCATTGCTGCGATCAAACGCGCCCGGCACTCGGCCTTCTTCGTGGACGTGCTCTCAAAAATCCTGCTAGCTTGATCGATCCGTCCAAAGCCTGAGTATAAGCCGACGAAAGCCGCGTCTAAGTTCTCACCCTGGGATCCAGCCTCTAAAACTCGTGCGTGGATCGCCTCGGCATGGTCCAGCGTCGTGCAAGCACTGAGAACAAGCACGAAAGTCGATCCCACGGGACGAACGCCCTCCAGAACCATTCTGTGAAACATCTCCATCGCCTCCACCATATGCCCATTCTGGGCATACGCTCCGATCATCGCTGTCCAGCACCAGACGCTAGAGCTCGCGATCCTGTCGAAGAAACCTCTCGCATTGCCCACACTGCCACACTTCCCATACATCTTGATGATAGAACACTGCATCACGGCGTCCTGACGATCCATCCCGAGGAACTCCACGCGACTGTGAATCAGTCTCCCCAGCCGATGGTTCCTGGTGCTAGAACACGCTCCCAGAATGCTGGAGAAGGTGAAAGCGTCCGGCCCAACGCCCTCCAAGTCCATCCTGTGGAAGATCTGGATGGCCCTGCCGGGTTGCCCATGCTGAGCATAGCCACTCGCGAGCGCCGTCCACGAGAAAGCATCGCGATCGCGGCTCATGGCCTCGAACACCATGCCCGCCTCCTCCAGCCTCCCACATTTGGCGTAGAAATCCACCAGCGCGGTCTGGACGATTGGATCGTCAAGGAATTGCGAAGCTCTCACCTCATCGTGGATGGAGATTCCCTGTTCCAGATCCCCGACGCTCGAGCAGGCGCTGAGAACGCTTGCGTAGACGAAGCCATCGGGCCGGGTGCCCAGAAGCGGCATCTCGTGGAAGAGAGCGATGGCGTCGGCCGGGCGCGAGGCTCGGAGATAGGCCGAGATCAAAATGCTGCACGAGAACTCGTTCTTGACTGGCAGGGTGTGGAAGACGCGGCGCGCGAGCTCCAGGTCCCCACATTTGCTGTACATCTGAACGAGGAGATTCCCTAAGAACAAGTGCCGGCCATAGCCAGCGGCAATCAAGTGGCGATGGACGCGGCCGCCGTGTGCCAGATCCCTGGCGCTCGCACATCGCCGGATAATCGCGGCGTAGAGCTGGCTGGTGGCTTGGAGCACGCCGCGTTCTAGATCCTCGATCTGGCGCCTCCATAATCTGTCACACATTCATCGCTCGCGAAAAACCCTAAAAGTTTCCCTCTCTTTTGCGAAGAACCCTAAAATGCTGCTCTAGGCTAGGGTTTTAGTCCATGGTAAGATTTAGCTGGGCTTGCCTGGCAAAGCGGCAAGATCGACTTACGACCAAGGAGCAGAAGGTCCAGCTCTACAAGTACTTTGATCGGCAATTGCAGCGAGAGGAGCGATCGGTGAAGCGCGCGGAGAGGCAATTACGCAAGAAGAGGAGCGCGGAGGAGAATGCCGAGGCGCGGGCAGAGGAGATGGAAGCCGGGAGCGCACAAGAGCGGCGGGCGATCCGCGCCAGGCAGCGGGAGGCGCGATTCGGCGAGGACGGGGACGATTTCCGGGAGATTTTCGACGCCGAGGGGGTGAAATTCTCGGCGCGCTACAAGCCCCCGCCCAAGCAGGAGCCCTGCTGGTGGAAGAGCGCCTGGGGGATCCTCCCCAGCGCGGAGCGCTTCGCGGACATGGGCGCCGTGGATGCCGTCCTCGCGGCGGTGGACGAGCGCCGGATCGACACCCGGGCGCCCTTCCTCTACCAGCATTTCCTGGAGAAGTGCATCGCGGGCAGGGCGATCGAGCAGGGGCGCAAGGTCCACGCTCACATCATCAAGAATGGCCTCTCCCAGGATCGAAATTTCTCCAATCTCCTCGTCCAGATGTATGGCGCGTGCCGCGAGATCGAGGACGCCGTCAGGGTGTTCACCTCCATCGCCTACAAGAACACGCGATCCTACGCCGTGATGATCTCCGCCTACAGCGATCACGGCGACTACCGCAAGGCGCTGGATCTCTTCCACCGCATGGTGGAGACGCTGGAGCCGGACGACTTCGTGCTCTCCACCGCGCTCCACGCCGCCGGGATGATCCAGTCGCTCGAGGACGGGCGCGCCATCCACAAGTGGATCCTCGACTCGGAGATCAAGCCCGAGCTCGCGCTGGAGAATTCCATCCTGGAGATGTACGCGCGCTGCGGCGATCTGCCCATGGCATCGCAGCTCTTCACTGCCATGCCCGCGAGGAACTCCGCGAGCTGGAGCGTCTTGATCGCCGGCTACATCGAGGGTGGCGAGCCGGAGGAAGGGCTCAAGCTCTACAAGAGGATCCAGCACGGGGTTCACCGGGTGGATCTTAGCGCCGCCACGATCGTCCTCCTGGTTCGCGCTTGCGGCGAGCTGGATCTCCTCGAGGAGGGCCGGGAGATCCATCGCGGGCTCAACGAGAGGGAGCTCGGCTACCCGGGCGTGGCCGCCGCGCTCATGGAGATGTACGCGCGGTGTGGGATCGTGGACGACGCGAGGAAGCTCTTCGATCAGCTCCCCCAGAGAGATCTCGTCGCGTGGAACTCGATGATCTCGGTGTATGCCCGGACTGGGCATCCGCGCGAGGCGCTGGAGCTCTACGAGAAGCTGGATCTAAGCCCGGACAAGCAGACTTACCTCGCGATGCTGCTCGTGTACGCGGATCTCGGGGACCTGGATCGCGGCCACCGGATCCGGCTGCTGCTGGATCAGACCGACAGCGATCTGGAGCTCCAGGCCGCGATCGTGAGCTTCTACGCGCGGTGCGGCGCGATCCGGGAGGCGAGAGGGGTGTTTGACAGGATCCGGCAGCGCGACGCCGCGTGCTGGACCGCGATGATCCACGCCTACGTCGCGGGCGGCGAGGCGGCGCGCGCGATCGAGCTCTTCCGGGAGATGAGCGTGGAGCCGAGCCCCGAGACGTACGCGATCGTGCTGTGGGCGTGCTCGATCGCGGGGGATGCCACCACCGGCAAGGCGCTGGACGAGGAGATCTCGAGGACGGAGCTCCGATCCAATCTCCTCGTCCAGAACTCGCTGGTGGGGATGTATGCGCGGAGTGGGCAGCTCATGTACGCGAAGTGGGAGTTCGATCGGATCGCCTGCCGGGACTGCGTGTCGTGGAACATCCTCCTGGGCGCGTATGCCCAGCTCGGGCATTGCCGCGAGGCGCTGGAGCTCTTCCCGCAGATGCCACAGGAGGGCGTGGCGCCCGACGGTGTGACGTTCGTGGCGGTGCTGTGCTGCTACTGCCGGATCGCCCCGGCGCCGGTGGGGGAGGAGTGGTGGGAGCAATTCGTGCGCATGGTGGCGGATTTCGGGATCGCGCCTTGGGTGGAGCACTACGCGTGCGTGATCGAGCTGCTGGGGCGGGAGGGGAAGCTGGGCGAGGCGGAGGAGCTCGTGAGGACGATGCCGTTCGAGGCGGAGGCCGAGCAGTGGAGCGCGCTGCTGGCGTCGTGCCGCGCGCACGGGGATGACAAGCGGGCCGCGCGGTCGGCATACCGGATCGCGGAGATGGAGGGAGCCGCTGCCGCCGCTGCCGCGGGATAAAAAACTCTTGAAGTATTTCAGAGTTTCTATGCAGGATAGCAGGCCTCCATCACCTGGCTCAGCGTAAACAGGGAGATTAGTGAGCTTGGAATGGTGTGAATTTGATGTTCGAGCCAGGCAATCCACCCTCTAACCCATTTACCATTAATTAGTTTTATTTAATGGTAAAGTATTCACAAAACTCTAATTTAATATTTTAATTTAATTGGTAACTAAAAATTTACCATTAAATTAGGTTAATTTTGGTATTAAGGTTTTGAATTAATTTCAAACAAATAATTAATCACTTTAATACAATTCTTAATAGCTTTTTGAATTCATGACACACATCAACACTAGTAATAAAGTTTTCAATGAATTAATTTGTCAAATGGCAAAGAGTTGTAAAAAAAGAAATTATAATGTATTCCCAAGTAGCAAAAATTGAGATTTTAGATACAAATGGAATATAAATTAATTTTAAAAATATAATATTTATCATTTGTTTAGTTTTTTTAGTTTAAAGTTGGTTTAAAGTTGAAATAATTGTTTGGGTCCAATTTAATCTTGACAAACTTGTGATTATTTTAAAGTTCTCTATTGTGAAATGTGTAAATGATGTGTAGTGCTTTTTAGACAAAGTGCAGTATTTTGATCATTTTGTTGATCATCTTTTTAATTGTACTGCATCTTTGCAAGTGTTGTTGAAGTTGTCAATATTATCTTTTATAAAACTTATAGACTGTGAGCAGGCATTTATGGATTTTAAAGAGCTATTAACAACTCCTTCAGTTTTGGTGTATACTAATTATACTTAACCTTTTAATTTTGTGTGTGGGTGTTTCTAATATCGGTTTTGGAGCTGTGTTGATGCAAAAGAGTTCAAGTATGCTTAATTAACGCTATCTTATTGCATATATAAGCCATACATTACAATTAGCAAAAGTGAAATACTCCATAACGAAAGAGTGTTTAACAACAGTTTGGGGTTTCAAGAAACTCCATGTATATCTACATAATTATCAGATATTATTAAAAGGTAATTATGTTGTAGTTATTTCATTATTAAAGCAAAAGAATTTGGTTGGTTATACTGCTCAATAAGTTTTGAATTTTAAAATATATGATTTTGATGTTGTTCATCACCTAGAGAATTCTATAGTTGATGCTAATGCCCTTTTTCAAGCTCCTTTTCCTTCTTCTTTTTCTTCTCATGTTTCTAATACACTTGTTATTTTAATATTTGTGGATTTTTACACAAAAATTTTATGCTATTAACAGTTGTTGTACTTGATATTCAATGTCCACAAGGTGTAGAACAAGATTTACCTTCTCTTGAAGAAGTTTATGAAGCTTAAAAGATTCAGCCATAGATTCAAAGGCTTTGTGATATATTTGAGAATTTTATATCACTTACTAATAACTTGCCATTTTGGCATTTACATTCTCAATATAGCCTTGAGGATGGTTTTCTTTATTTTGTGGGGATGGATCTTGATAATCATTCATGGTTGGTGGTGTTTTTGATTTTTATTCGACACTTTTTTCATGCCTACTATGATTCTTTTATTTCAGACGGATATATAGAACATTATGGTGTGACTAAAGTTACACAAGTATTTCTATTAGCCAAAGATACAACGTGATATTATTCCGTATATATGTAGTTGTGTTTGGTGCTAAGCTTGTAATACTCCCCTTTGTGATATAAAAGGATGGTTAGAGTTAATTACAATTTCCCGTTTGTTTAAGTTGGTGGTGTTTGATTTGATGAGCCTTTTCCATAATTAATTGTAGGCAATAAGTATGTCATTATTACTTCTGATTATTTGATTCGCTCAGTGGAAGTCAATGCTATTGTTAACGTGTCTGCAACTGTTATTGGATACTTCCTCTTTAATCAAGTGGTGTTTCAACATTCTTGTTTTTAGTAGATTCTTTCAGATAATAAGGGATATGCTACACTTTCATAAATGCATATCATCCACAGTCAAATGGTTTGGTAAAATGGCTTGTTTGGACTTTCAAATGGATGATTGTGAAATACGTGAACTTTCAGTATTCGGATTGGGATGGTTATTTAGGGTATCTTTAGTATACATATGTCATAGGGGTGTAAAGTTTTATTAGTGCTTCACCATATAAATTTTTATATAATCATGATTTAATATTACTAATGGAGTTGAGTTTACCTTCGTGATTACCACGAGCTACCAATGCTAGGTTGTGGATTAGTCCATTTTTCCATTTGTCCTAGCAAAGTTTATTGAACACCTGGGCTATATATAAATGAGACAACAATAACATTACAACTCCTATGATCGTTCACCTATAGAGTACAAAATAAATAACTTAGTGTTAGTCTATTTTTCCCAATATTATAGTATGTGGTTTTGTCTAAGGGGCTCTTTGCTTAGTGGAAAGGACTGTATTGGGTGTTGTAGCAAGTCAGACTGCAAGTTTATAAGTGGAAGAAATATAATAAAGTACGAAACAAGGGGGAGAAACTTTAAAGTCATACTTAGTATAATTGTGTTGCAACCAATCCATACCAAGGATAAAGTTAAAAGCTTGACTTAGCACCACCTATGCAACTCAAGCTTAAGATTTCCCACATGCACAATTACATTTACACATATGTATGTACGGCCATTGCCATAAAGAATGAAAATTGGCTTTGCTGTATGATGTAAATGTAAATAGCAATGTGTGAGAATAGGCCAAACAATAAAAGATAAACTCAAGTTTGTATCAACCAACACAGAAAAAATAACAAGAAACTTCTTATTATAAAAATAAACTTGGAAAGTAAAAATTGAATAAACTAAAACCGAGTGAACCCCTTGATGATACTTTTGAAAGAAAGATGAAAAAGTTACTAACTTATTTGCTCAAGAACCCTCCACTACTTGTGCAATTCCTCATTTACTAGAAGCATTTTAGTGTTTAAACCTTCCAGTGCAACAGCACCAATTGGATGTTGTTGATGCCAAGGTCTCCACATAAGAAATGGAGGTTGCCAATTCAAAAAATATCGACAATGCCAATAAGTGTGACCAACTTCATTACATGTCAAGTAGCAAATATCACGGCCATAACTATATTCTCACCCTTATCTTTGAACTTGGGTAGTAGTAACATCAACCTCAATTAGAACATGACCATCTTCTATAAAAAGTGGAGTTAAAGGACATGTAACAAAGTGGAAGAGGTGATGTTTTATAATGTTATATCAAGAAAAAATCATCATCAAAAGTGGTTAAAGCAAATGCATATACAAGTCCTACAAAATCTTGATGGAGTGCTAGCCAGAATATTTCCAACTAAATTTGCTTCAATATATTTCTTTTTGTATGAAGCAAGAGGCTTTGGAAATGAATACCAAATTGCAATCACTAACTCAAATGAACTTTGACAAAGACAATGCAATTATTAGAAAGCATCATCACAATTGTTAGTATATCCAAATGCATATTTGAAGACATCTAGAGAATCCTCATATATGGCTACACTCAAACTATTGTACCACTACAAGATCATCCTTTGGAGACGTGGGAAACTCACGCAAACACCAAGTATCATCCCAAAAATGATATGTGGCAATCATTATAAAGTGATTGAACTAATGGTATATATCATCTTTAGGATTTTCACAAAAGAATTCCAACCAAACTCGAGGATTGGCATCAAGAGCAAGAGGAGTTGTACCCCATGTTGTGAATATTGCTATCAATTAAGTATAATTATACAACTGCAACTATATAATATCGAGCAATTGCACCAATTGCTGCTTTAGAGTCAAAGGAAGAGGAGGCTACTGTTTTGCCATTGTCGCGAATGTGACTTCAGGTATTGAAAGTTACCTGTCGGCTAGTCCTTACAGACACTCTTTCCTTACTGCCACGATGGTAGGAGGTCGGTATTGCTGGACCTTTTATTAGTCCATCTTGTTCAAGTGTTAGTAAACTGGACTTTGCATCTATACTTGGCTGGATGAGCATAAGGACAGAATTCCTAAGTGTCTATTTAGCCAATCATACTTAGCCCAGCTTTTTAGTTCTCTTTTGTTCTGTTTTGCACTAGCTTGATAAGAACCCTCATATATTGAGACTAATCCCTCAATATTGTTGAATGATAGCTTACCGTGTCTATCAAATGCCCTCGTTATCATGCCTTTTGTGTTAGTCTCATTTCGGTCCCAAATGCTATTTATGGAAAGTGTCTAGATTTTCTCATTTAGCATATCTACGGAATATAGAGATTGTTTTGAACACAATGATGTTCGTCCCATGTCCAAATTCGCAATCTAGTATTATTCCATATTTAGTAAGTTTCAAGCTTGTCCCAGAGACTAACTCCTGATACTAAAGGAGGCTTGGGGTGAAAGCCTAAAGCATGTGTTCCTTGAGAGGGGGAGGGGGGAGGGGGGGGGGGGGGGTTCCATGGTTTAGTTCCCGCTTGTGTGTCTGTCCCTGTTTTGCGTCTAGCTTGGGTCTAAGCCTAAGTACCATTCTATGCTAGTTAGTGGAGTACCTATACCCTCACGTTAGGCCACTGATATGCCAAAATAGTGCCAGACTCCGTTTTGCTCCATTTTGCATGCTGGTCCTGGCATTGGGATGCTAATTGTTCTAGGACTATTCCAAGTCGCTTCGGGCTCGTATCCTTTTGCTCCTTGGGCTGTATGCTCAAGAGTTGCTTTGTGGTCCGGTTCCATCACTCTTTGGCTCCATACTTGGGGGTTTGGCACCGTTTCTTCGTTCAGTGGCCTAAGGCTTTAAACTTCGGGTTCCACACCACATTCCTTTGGACATTGTAGCGCATGTGATCATGGGATGAGATTTGGATATACTGTCACCGTGGATCCTTGGAACCTTGGGGAATAAATGGGGATAAAATAGCCACTAAGGGCTCTCTCATCAAGCAATTGCTCCTTTTCCAGTTGGCTTAAGGGGAGAGAGATAAGGTGCGTTACAATTGGTATCAGAGCAAATGGCACGGGTTCGATTCCCATTGATTAGTGGCTACTTAAAAAGTATAATATACCCTTGAGCAAGGTATATTTCTACCCCTAAATTTGAAATTGTACGTATTGAGCATCCATGCGTATGTCCTTCCTCTTGTGTGGAGTATCCATGGATGAAGGTATCCACCGTGGGACTGCACATGGAATAGCTGGTCTACATAATGGAAGGATTGGTAGATTGAGTGCGGAAATGGAGGTGCTGGTTCCCCTTGGCTCAGTAGGGGTTTTTAGTCAATAGTCAATGAGGACATTGACATCTCTGAAGGGGGGGTGAGTGTAGCGCATGTGATCATGGGATGAGATTTGGATATACTGTTACTGTAGATCCTTGGAACCTTGGGGAATAAATGGGGATAAAATAGCCACTAAAGGTTCTCTCATCAAGCAATTGCCCCTTTTCTAGTTGGCTTAAGGGGAGAGAGATAAGGTGCATTATAGACATGTGGCATGTGACATGTGGCATCTATCACATGGCACATGAAGGGCTTAGGTTCTGCTTAGTGGTGTTATCCTATGGTAAATCACCATAGGATAAAGGGTCAAAACCACGTGCGCTACAACCATGAAAATGAATGAAAAGAAAAAAAGTAAAAGAGAAGAAATTGAAAAATCTGTAAGAAGAAAGAGATTTAGACAATGTAAAAGCTAAATTTAAAGTAGAATCTCAAATCCAAACACTCCTCAAGGATAATCAAAATTGCCTCTCACCTTCACCGATATGAGTGCATGGAATATAAAAATGAAATACAAAAATATGTATATCCATTAGCCAAAAAACCCTAATTTATATATAGGTGTGAGTGGTCTAGATTAAAATCAATTTGATGGTTATGAAAATCCCACTACACTAATATTAGTATATAGCATTGTAGCTATATATTTGGACCTCACATAATTTAATACATTTAACATTTAAAGATATCTAACAACTTTTATAATGTGAATAATTTATAGTAGCAGTTTTCAGAACTCCTTCTAGATGAAAAAATTATGTATAAGTTGGGTGGAATTGTTCCACTTATATGTTTATAATTCAAAGTAAAATGTCTCATATAAATATATAGAACATAAGTTATCTACTTTTATATTTTTTTCTTAAGAAAGAAAATACATATAGATACATTTGTATATTCCGTATTTTCAACTTTCTTTAACATGTATTAAAAAAACTTCAGCTATCACCTCCTGCTTTAAAAAATAAATATAAAGTTAATCAAAATTAATATAAATTCTGTTTTTACTACCAAGTGTTTAAGGTGCTGTGCTCTTGAAATCTGGGACAAAAAATAGAAGAGAGCTATGGAGAGTGCTAGTGGCAATCAGTGTGCAGGATTCCAATCAGATCCCTTAGGATATACCTGGGTTTCTTTGTTTACAATTCTTGTCAAATGAATACCCAAGCCGAATATGCTTGAAATTTTAGAGGTCCTTGTCTTTAAAGTTTAAAAGTGATTGTTCTCTTTTGTGTAAGTTAGATGGGTGTTGCCATCAAAATGTCTTCGGTATTCCAGCACTGGCGTGGTGTGGTGCGGTGGCAGAGCTCCACAGAGAAAAGGGCGAGCGAGCAAGCGAGAGGGTCTCTCGGCATATAAAGGCCAAACTCTTAATGCTCACCCAACCCATGCACCCCATGATCCTCTTGAATGCCAGTTTTAGGGCAGCCAAGGTGGTGGAAGATGGTACAAACGTAAAAACACAGCTTTGGTGGACTGTCCCAATTCCAATCACTGGCGGTTTTGGTTTGGTGGGGAATCTCTCCCGGAATCTGGGCGAATCTTTCTTTCTCCGCAAGCGAAGCGACCTAACCAAATGCCGTGTGTTGTCTCCTTGACAACAGTTTTTTAAGGAGCTGTGTGAGTGTTGCTCGAGCGAATGAATAGAAGAATCAATGGGGCCACAACGAGAATGAGAATGCAAGCGATGGAATTAATAATCCACGCCACATACGTGCACACAACGTTGTTATTCCTGGGCTCTCCATGGATTGGAAATATCAAAAGATTATCAACCTTTATTTAGTAAATGGAAAAATGTGGGCTGTCGGTAGCCGTTGATTTTGTTGTTTAGTTGTTTGTTGGTTTCATCTTCCCTGCCGGCCGGCCTCAGGAAAAGAAAAAGAGGGAAAAAAAAGAAGAAAATTTGCCCCTTTTGTTTTCACCCAGCTAATTTTCACCGTGTCGCTGTTGCGCTTTTGTCACACTTCGAAGCAGGGGTTTGAGGGGAACCAGTGGTCGCCGCGACAGTCGCAGCGCGACTTACTATAAGTAAGAAAAAAAGAGGAAATGGGAGCGAATTTCTTTCTTGTTTCCAGCGAGCCAAAAAATTTCCTGTTTTAAACGGGTGAAGGGAGAGAGGCTATGGCGGAAAGGGAAGCTTGCAAGGCACGGGATCGATTGATGATCCAGTTTCTAGGGTTTGCATGAGGCGCGGCAGCGGCGCGCACGCAAGGGGGCCGTCTCAGCGCGGCGGAGAAAGGCGAGCAGCGCCCGGGATCGCGGCATTTTGCGCGCGCCATCGAGCGGGCGCGGGATTGATTCCAGGGCGCACAGTTGCAACGGCATCCATCGCGATGCGGCTCCGGTGAATTTCCGGTGCTAGGGTTTCGGGGAATGCAGGCGCGCGCAATCCGGGGTAGTGAGCAGCATTGTTCCGTCTTCCATCCAGGTACGCTTCTTGGATCAGATTGAGAGATTTCCATCGTTTTCCCCCCGTGATCGTGATTGAGCTCATCGTTTTCTTTGCTGATTCATGCCTGGAGATTCTTTCCTTGTGTTTGGTGTTTTTTCTTTCTTTTCTCTGCTTTCCCTTTTTTTTCTGGGGGAGGATCTGGTTTGGATTTGAGAATGCCTGGCGATATTCTAGCAATTGCGCATGTGGCATTTTTTTCTTTGGTTTCTTTAAAGATGGTTTGTTCATGCTGCCAGAGAACACCGCCTTCTTGAGCTGGATTCCCTGAATTTCTTGGCACTTTTGATTGAATCGCGTCACATGGTTTGCATGAGTGATGATTTCCTTATGATAAGCGTCCCTGTCTTGCTTGTTGTTGCGACAACTTGATAAATACAGCTGCTGCGTTCATAGGACTGAGAGCTATGGCTCGTCGCATGGTTTAGCAGCTTGCTCGCGTTCACGATGGAGGCAACCGATGTCAAGACTAGAAGGCCATCGTCGTTCAGTGCCAATACTCCGGTTCATCCAAGATCATCCATGACTGGCCTGAGCTCCAGCAATAGCACTCCTGTCCATCCCAGAGCGACTGGAGCAGCTAATGGACATGATTACGACAGCGACGGCAGCGACCTTCCTGCGTAAGCTATCTTACAACACTCGCCTTGCATTTAGTTCTTGTTCATCAAGTCGGTAGATGACTGGTTTTCGACTTGATATAACACTGATTAGTAGCAGCGAAGTTTTGGACGATGCTGGTGTCGATGACGCTAGTGTGGAAGGAGATACGAGGTAAAACAGGAAGGCCCCGTTAGTTATACACACTAAGAACTAATATTGCATAGAGTTGTGGGATTTAGTTCGTATTTCCTTATATTCTCGCTTTGAACCGTGCAGGACTCCCAGAACGATTTCAAGCACCTTAGTTCCTGATTTGGTCGGAGCCATTCCCATACTTGACAAGTTCCAGGTATTTGATGCTCACGATGAATCGTACCTCAATCCATCTTTTTTCCTTTATATATTTTAATTTTTTGTTCTTTTTCAGGTAGATGCATTTATCAAGCTGATGCGAAAGCAGCTACAATCGGGTGGCAAACGTGGATTTTTCACCAAAAAATCGGTGGTCCCTCAAGGCCGGGAAAGCTATTCCGTGGAAGACATGCTTTGTTTTCAAAAGGTTCACAAATCATCTATGATTTTGTTCCATTAGCTGATTTAATGGGTTTCCAGGAACCAATACCGACATCTCTTCTCAGAATAAACGCAGATCTTGTTAGCCGTGCTGTCAAGCTGTTTCAAGCTATTCTCAAGTACATGGGCATCGATGCCCAAACGCCGAGTCCGTTAAATTCTCAAGACCAATTGGCGATTGTTTTGAAGATCTATAAGCATACCTTGAAACGCGTTGAACTGAGGGATGAGGTGTTTGCCCAGATTTCGAAGCAAACGCGCAACAATCCTGACAGGTTTGTGTCTTTTATACATGTTGCCACCTTACAAAGTCGATTCGTCCTGTAGACCTTTGCTACTAAAGGCTTGGGAGCTGTTATATTTGTGCGCCTCTGCAATGCCGCCTGGGAAAGACTTTGCAGCATACTTATCAGAGTACGTGCATGATGTGGCCAGCTCTCAAAACAGTGATGCAGAAATTCAGGCATTGGCTTTGAAGACTTGGAATGCATTAAAAAGAACAGCCAAAGCAGGGCCACGACGGACAATTCCTGCACAGGAAGAGGTTGAAGCTCTCCTAGGTGGACGGAAGCTGAAGACAATTGCGTTTTTCCTAGACGAAACGTTTGAAGGGATTACGTATGACATGTCCACAACCGTCATGGATGCTGTCGAGGTAATTTTTATGTAGAATGTTCCATTACTCAAAGCTCCTGTTGCAGGAATTGGCGGGAATTATCAAGTTATCTGCGTACAGCTCATTCAGTCTATTTGAATGCAGGCGTGTTCTAGTAGGAACGAAAGCTGTTGACAGTGGGAATGGTACGATCTCTCTAGGTTGGTCTTTGTTTACCTTTCTTATTGGCGATTGCAGATGAGCATCTTGGGCTTGATGAAAATAAATATATTGGAGATATTGTTGCGGAGTTCAAAGCAATCAAGGAACGCAACAAAGGAGAACTACTTCAATGCAAGCTTCTCTTTAAGAAACGCTTGTTTCGGGAATCGGACGAGGCTATTACTGACCCAATGTTTGTACAGCTGTCGTATGTTCAGGTACGGTGGTTTTTTGTTTTACTTTTTCTGTCTCAACTCTTCCTTTATCAGTCACAACATGATTATCTCCTTGGAAACTATCCTGTCGGTAGAGATGATGCAGCGCAGTTGGCTGCTCTAGAAGTGATTGCTGATATTGGCCCTGCGAACGAAGCTGAACCTATAATGTGTGTTAGAACCTCAGAATAACGTCCGGGATTTAACATTTTTCTTTCAGGGACTGGTCAGCCCTAGTCGATCGCTATCTGCCAAAACAAGTTGCCATCACAAGGGCGAGACATGATTGGGATTCTGACATTTTTGCGCGGTACAAAGCGATGGTGAGTGTTTGCTTTCTAGGTTAAGATTCTTACATTTTTGTTCTTATCTGAAGGGTCATTTATCGAAAGATGATGCAAGACAACAATTGCTACGTATTTTACGATCCTTGCCATATGGCCAATCCATATTTTTCAACGTCCGGAAGATAGAAGATCCGATTGGTCTTCTTCCCGGAAGAATTATCTTAGGGATAAACAAAAGAGGGGTACGTGCAAGTATATTCATGTTCGCTGTTTTGACATGTGTTTCTTAACAGGTTCATTTTTTCCGGCCAGTACCTAAAGAATATTTACATTCGGCTGAGCTGAGAGACATCATGCAATTTGGAAGTAGCAATACCGCAGTGTTTTTTAAAATGCGTGTGGCGGGAGTTTTGCACATTTTTCAGTTTGAAACTAAACAGGTGTCTTTGTGGCTTTCCGTGTAGTTCTTCTCTAAATTTCTGTCGCAGGGCGAAGAAATATGCGTGGCTCTCCAGACACACATAAACGATGTGATGCTGCGGAGATATTCAAGAACGCGTTCTGTTGCTAACGGAGCCATACAAAGCAACGGGGAATCTGCCGTGCCAAACTTTAAGCCTCCCGGAATCGAGGTTTATGAGAAACATGTGCAGGATATGTCAAGGCTTTTGGATGAATCCCAGAAGAAAGCAGACCAGGCAAGTCGATTTTTTGGTGGACTTGAGAACTAAATCATTGTATTAATATGCGCAGCTTGCTGGAGAGTTAAGGGAGAAAGACAAGAGGCAAACATCATTGCTAGAAGAATTGGAGGGCTTCAAGGACAGACTCCGAGCTGAACAACAAACAGTTACTGATATAACACAAGAGAGAGAAAAGCTGCGGAAGGCTGTTGAGGAGAAGGAAACCGCACTACAGGTACGACTGATGTATTTTGACTATCTAACAACATAAATTTTCAGGCCGCTCTTGCGGAAAAATCTGCGGATGATGAGCATGGTCGCGAGGAGGCAGCTCCGACAAAGAAAGGCATTCTAAGAGGTTCTATTGGAAGAAGGGACAGGGACCTGCCATTTGCCGAGAAAGCATCTAGTGCACTGGAAGCACAGGTGAACTGCAAGGTTTCTTTTCTCTGCCTTCGCTTCATACAATAATTTCAGGTCAAGGACTTGAGAAATGAACTGAAGTCGAAAAGCGAGGAGGCCAGGCTGGCGGAAGAGAGGAACAAAAAGCTGATGAATGAGAAGCAGTTACTTGAACAAAAAGTTTCCCGTGTCGAAAAACTGAAAGGCGAAGAAGTAGGTGCTTGGAGAATTTTGCACTTTGACGAGTATCTGATTGATGTCTTGCCAGACTAAGGTCCTCGAGAAAAAGTTCGAAGAAGAGCGGAGCATGCTCAGAGTGCGGATATCGGAGTTGGAGAAAAAGCTGAATGAAAGGACTCAGGAGATAAGTGTTGCAGAAGCAGCGCTCAGCTTGCGGACTTCTGAGCTGGAAGCTATGCAATGTAGCATGAAAGAGCTCGAAGAGTTGAGGGAAATTAAAGAGGTACGTTATTTTGCGACTATGCATTTTCTGACATTCTTCGTGTGTTTCCTAATCAGGATATCGATAGAAAGAATGCCCAGACAGCTGAACTATTAAGAAGACAAGCTGATCAGCTCGCTGAACTAGAATCCCATTACAAAGAAGAACAGATATTGAGAAAGCGATACTTCAATATGATGGAAGGTACATTTTCTTCTGTTCCTTTTCCTTCAGTGTTCCATACGAATGAACGTATTCCATTGCAGATATGAAAGGAAAAATTCGAGTATACTGTAGATCGCGCCCACTTGTTGAGAAAGAGCTGAACGAGAACCAGAAAGCAGTGATCATATCTGCAGATGAATTCACTGTCGAACACATATGGAAGGATGACAAGACAAAGCAGTTTCAGTTTGATCATGTTTTTGACGAGCATGCATCTCAAGATGCTATCTTCGAAGACACCAAGGTAATGATGTCTATTTGACGTTATTTTGTTACTAACATGTTCTGTCATCCAGTATTTGGTGCAATCGGCAGTCGACGGATACAACGTGTGCATTTTCGCTTATGGTCAAACTGGGTCCGGCAAAACATTTACAATATATGGTCCGGAAAATAATCCTGGGCTCACGCCGAGAGCCACGCGGGAATTATTCAGCATCATAAAGCGGGACAGAAACAAGTTCACAGTATCTCTGAAGGTGTGTAAATCATATGCATTTGTCTTGTTTCTCTAATGATGGTTCCCTTAACAGGTATACATGCTTGAGCTCTACCAGGACAATCTTTTCGATCTTCTTTTGCTTCGGAATGCCAAGCGGCAAAAACTTGAAATCAAGAAGGATTCTAAGGTAATTTTTGTCGGCAGTTTTCTGAAGTCCAAGCTTTCTTTATTTGTTTACAGGGTATGGTCGTTGTCGAGAACGTTACGCTAATACCCGTGTCGACAAGAGAAGAGCTTGACAACCTTATTCAAAAGGGGCTGGAGAAACGACATACTTCTGGAACCCAGATGAATGCCGAGAGCTCCAGATCGCACTTGGTCCTGTCAATAATAATTGAAAGCACGAACATGCAAACGCAGAACGTGGTCAAAGGAAAGGTACGGAGTTCTCCTTACGGCAGTAGTTTTATAAGTGGGCTTACGGCGTGGTTTTTGCAGCTGAGCTTCGTGGATTTGGCTGGATCGGAGAGAATAAAAAAGTCTGGATCAACCGGAGAGCAATTGAAGGAGGCCCAGAGCATAAACAAGTCCCTCTCGGCGCTAGGCGACGTGATCAGCGCACTGGCCACGGAAGAGCAGCACATACCGTACCGGAACCACAAGCTGACGATGCTCATGAGCGACTCGCTGGGTGGCAACGCCAAGACGCTCATGTTTGTCAACGTGTCCCCGGCGGAGTCCAATCTGGAGGAGACTCACAACTCGCTATGGTAAGCAAGCGCGATCCAGTGTGTGGATTGATGGATTTGTTCTTTGCTCTTGTCGCAGCTACGCAACGCGCGTGCGGTCAATTATCAATGACCCGACCAAGAACACGAACACGAAGGAGATCGTGAGGCTCAAGAAGATGCTGGGATACTGGAAGGAGCAGGCGGGCAAAAAGGCGGACGAGGACGAGCTGGAAGAGATCAAAGACGAGCGGACTGGCAAGGAGAAGATGGAGTCCTCGTAGAGCAGGCAAAGTTTCGGAAGAACACACGGAAAAAGAGAAGAAAAAAAAACGAGAAAAGGAGAGGAAAAGCTACTAATTCGGTGGTGATTTTTTTTTGGTCAGTGTAGTGGGCTTTTCGATCATGTAAGTATACAAGTTTTAACAAGAAGACTTTGAGAAGCTTTGTATTGTATCATCTACCATATTGTTTGCAATCAAATATTTGCTATATCGATGGCTCTCTTTTCTGGCTCAACTTGCATATAAAACAAATATTTGAATGATCATATAAACAAGATATCATGGGACTATCTAGTGGTTGATTCTTGTTCTTGACGTAAGTAGACCATAGAAAATGGAGCTTTAGAACTTTTGTGCCGACAGAGGGCGATCGAAGATTGCCCAAGTGATGGCGGTGGTGTTGTCTGAAACAGATGAAACATCAAAGCAAAGAAAGGGACCATTTAGAAAACAAAGAGAAGAGAGAAAAAAAAAGAGAAAAGAGAAAAAAAGGGGAGAACAATAGAATACCTACATAACTTGGAAGGAGGAGATTTCCTGCCTTTCCAGATTCAAAGTGATTGATAGGATACGATGCGCGTCCTGTTGTTGTAGCCAAGGAGAAGAAAAAAAGCTTGCAATCTTTAGCAGTGAATGACAAGAACATCAAAATCATGCATGTTACTCTCTCTGATGCAAAGCCTGTCCATGGTTCTCTCACCCACATGAATGTGACAGCATGGAAGCACTACTTGGTACCAGAAGCAAAAAATATGACAAGAAAGAAGCCAGCCCCTTGCAATAAGATTGAGCGAGCGAACGAATGAATGCAAAGAAACAAAAGGTATAAAATCCCATACCTGGCACAAGGAGAGGCGCCCCACATCCCTTCTTACTTCTCTCGCGCTCTCCCTTCCCAAGGCTTTTCCTCTCAGTCGGCAGTCCTGCATGGCCCCTGTGCCTTACTTTCCTTCCATTTTTCTCTTCTCTTTCTTATCTCCGCCCCTGTGTCCCCAAAAACTATTCACCGTAGCATATTTCCCTTTATTCCGGCTTCGATTTTGTTTGCTTCCCTCCCGACCCTTGCTTTCCTTTGTTTTTCTTTCTCCCTCTCTTGTCCTGCGTTTCAGCCGAGAAGAAAGGGCCCCTCTCGCTTTGCAGAGAGGAGGAGGAGGCCCAACAACACTGCTGCCCTGTGCCACTGCTACTGCCCCTGTTTCTTTCGTCCTGTTTAATAATATTGTCGTCCCCAGCCGTCGTGTCGATGTGCAAGCCTCTTTTTTCTCTGGATACGATACGCTCCCACCTCCAATTTCCTGTTCTCTTTCATTTTACCTTTAAAAGTGGGTGGTTTTCGAAGGGTCAAGCTGTTCCCAGCTCTTAGTCATTTAATAACTGCGAGCCTTTGTCAAATGGATCCAAAGTGGTCTTCGCCCCGTCTTGTTCTTCACCATGCTCTCTACACGCTAAGAGGTGACCATTATAAATAATGGCACGAGGGAAAAAACTAAAGCGGTGAACTTATCTCAGAATCAGCAACAAGCGATCTCCCGGTCCCTCCTCGGCTACAAATTGACAAGACAAGCCAAAGCCGCATACCCGGTGATCGAGACGGAAATTCCATTCCAGACAAGGAGCTACCACTATCTGGGGAGCCAACAGGAAACAAAACGCACGGAGTTAATAATAAGCCAAAGAATGTGAGAAGCAGAAGCTTTGGTAAAGCAAAGATATGATACATACCTCTTCTCGCAGTCAGCGCCTCAAGACAAACGGCATCCGTTGGGTGAGTGAACGACTGAATCCTCAGTACCCCCACTTAGCATTTTGGCAGCTGCTGCTTTGCAAATTGCATTCCTTACACCATCCTCCTATAAAGACGCCCACCAGAAAGTGAGAGAGAAGCTTTCACGTCGTGGACCCTGTATCAGCCTCACACCCTCCAAGGAGAATGAGCGAGCAGCTTCGTATCCCAGGCTTTTGCTCGACACAACTCGGATCAAGCGTCTTTGCAGCTCAGCTTTTCTCCTTTCTTCCCTGCTGATACTCGACGGGAAAGGCCCACTCGCAGGAGCACCAGGGTCCTTGAAAGCTGAGAGATAAGAAAAAACTTCTGTAGAGCTAGAGCTGTCACTAGTGCCAATATTCCTACCCTGTCTCGTCACTGCAGTGCTCCTCACTATTGACCACCACGGCCCGGCCATGAATTCCCACGCATCAAAGCTGCTGTTGTCACACAATCCAACGGCGCCGCTTATGAGCTGTCCAGTTTACCGGCTTGGAAAAAAATCAGTCCACCCGACCCGATTCCGATCTTTCCCGGGATTCCCCGCTATGCAAAAGCTTTCTAGCTCCTCGTAGCTTGTTTCATATTCCTGCGCCCACTCGCGCTTCGCCAATCTACCTCTTAACCACCTTTTACGAGCTGCTTTCTTTCCAATCTCTTCCTTTCGTCCTCCTCTGCTGCTTATGCTATTGCTGCTTTTGCTCATCTCGCTTGCTTCCACTCCACCTTCGGCCCCGGACAGGAGAGGAGAGCCTTCATCCCTTTCCTGGCTCCAACAATGCGCTCCATCATCGCCTTTCGGATTCTCTCTCCCACGGAATTCCTCATGTAGCGCTCTACATGGCCTGGTGCGCTTAATGAAACAGTTTCGTAGTCTGTCTTGTCACTGTCTCTCCTTCCTGCGGCCGAGCTCGTGAAACTCTGCTCAATTTGCGGTTCGCTTTTGGAAGACAGCCAGGAAGTGGAACCGAGTCGCCTGCCCCCCTGCTTATTATATCAACCATGCTGATCCTCGCAGGCAATCACGGAGTGGTAGCAGCGGAAGAAGCAGCAGCAGCTGAGTCGCCGTCATCTATCCTTTGCTAGCTTTCTACCATGAAGAAGCCGTCGTTGTCGTCGTCGTCGTCGTCGGACATGCTGGTTAGAAAGCTCTGCTTCATAGTGGTCACTGTAGCCGTCTTGATCCGTTGCTGTGCTGCCGATCCCCCGGAACAAGAGGCTCTCCGCGAGTTTTTGCTTGCTGCCAAAGGCTCCGAACTGCTCAAGTCATGGAGCACGTCAAGCTCGAGCCCCTGTTCTTGGCTAGGTGTCTCGTGCTCCTCCAACGGACATGTGGTGGAGTTGTCGCTGGGAGGCCTCCCGTTGTATGGCAGAATTCCAACAGTGTTTGGTTTCCTGTCCGAGCTGAAAGTGTTGAATCTCTCGTCCACCAACCTCACCGGGAGCATCCCCGAAGAACTTGGGAGCTGTAGCAAGCTCCAGCTGCTCGATCTCAGCGTCAACAGCCTCACCGGAAGAGTCCCGAGCAGCATCGGTCGCTTGAAAGAGTTGCGCTCGCTCAATCTCCAAGACAATCAGTTGCAAGGCTCCATCCCGAAGGAAATTGGCAACTGTACTTCCTTGGAGGAGCTCCAGCTTTTCGACAACCAGCTCAACGGTAGTATCCCTCCGGAGATCGGCCAGCTCGCGAAGTTGCAAGCGTTTCGAGCAGGCGGCAACATGGCATTGTCGGGACCGCTTCCCCCGGAGCTCTCCAATTGCAGGAACTTGACTGTCCTTGGGCTGGCGGTGACGGCACTGTCCGGAAGCATACCAGGCTCGTACGGGGAGCTCAAGAACCTCGAAAGTTTGATCCTTTACGGCGCTGGCATCTCGGGTCGAATTCCTCCGGAACTCGGTGGCTGCACCAAGCTCCAGTCCATCTATCTCTACGAGAACAGGCTGACGGGTCCAATACCACCGGAACTGGGACGTCTCAAGCAGCTCAGGAGCCTCCTCGTGTGGCAAAACGCGATAACAGGTAGCGTCCCTCGCGAGCTCAGCCAGTGCCCGCTGCTCGAAGTCATCGACTTCTCGAGCAACGACCTCTCCGGTGACATCCCACCCGAGATAGGAATGCTGAGGAACCTCCAGCAGTTTTACTTGAGCCAGAACAACATCACCGGCATCATCCCCCCGGAGCTCGGCAACTGTTCCAGCTTGACGTTTCTGGAGCTTGACACCAACATGCTCACAGGCCCCATACCCCCGGAGCTCGGCCAGCTTTCCAACCTCAAGCTCCTCCACCTGTGGCAGAACAAGCTGACCGGCAACATCCCCGCATCACTCGGACGTTGTAGCCTGCTCGAGATGCTCGACCTGTCCATGAACCAGCTCACCGGAACTATTCCTCCCGAGATCTTCAACTTGTCAAAGCTCCAGAGGATGCTCCTCCTTTTCAACAATCTTTCAGGTACGCTCCCTAACAACGCCGGGAACTGCATCAGCTTGCTGCGGCTGCGCTTGAACAACAACATGCTGTCGGGAAGCCTGCCTATCAGTCTGGGCCAGCTCCGAAATCTCAACTTCCTCGATTTGCACGACAACATGTTTTCGGGACCACTTCCCACGGGAATCTCAAACCTCAGCTCGCTGCAAATGCTCGACGTGCATGATAACCAGCTGTCTGGGCCGTTCCCTGCCGAGTTTGGCTCGCTTTCGAATCTGGAAATCCTGGATGCCTCGTTCAACAACCTGAGTGGTCCTATTCCTGCGGAGATTGGCAAAATGAACCTCTTAAGTCAGCTCAATCTAAGCATGAACCAGCTTTCAGGGGACATACCTCCGGAGATGGGACGTTGCAAAGAGCTCTTGCTCCTCGACCTCAGCAGTAACCAGTTGTCCGGGAACCTTCCACCAGACCTGGGAATGATAACCAGCCTGACCATCACTCTCGACCTCCACAAGAACAGATTCATGGGGCTCATTCCATCAGCTTTCGCACGTCTCTCTCAGCTGGAGCGTCTGGACATCTCTTCGAACGAGCTGACAGGAAACCTCGACGTCCTCGGCAAGCTCAACAGCCTCAACTTCGTCAACGTCTCGTTCAACCACTTCTCGGGATCCTTGCCGGGTACTCAAGTCTTCCAGACAATGGGCCTCAACTCCTACATGGGAAACCCCGGCCTCTGCTCGTTCTCGTCGTCGGGTAATTCCTGCACGCTGACTTATGCCATGGGATCCTCCAAGAAGTCGTCCATCAAGCCAATCATCGGTCTGCTGTTCGGAGGAGCTGCTTTCATCCTCTTCATGGGCCTCATCCTCCTGTACAAGAAGTGCCACCCTTACGACGATCAGAACTTCCGAGACCACCAGCACGACATCCCCTGGCCATGGAAGATCACCTTCTTCCAGCGTCTCAACTTCACCATGGACGACGTGCTCAAGAACCTGGTTGACACGAACATAATCGGCCAGGGACGGTCCGGAGTCGTGTACAAAGCAGCGATGCCAAGCGGTGAAGTGGTCGCCGTGAAAAAACTCCGCAGGTACGACAGAAGCGAGCACAACCAGAGCGAGTTCACGGCGGAGATCAACACCCTGGGAAAGATCCGCCACCGGAACATCGTCAGGCTCTTGGGCTACTGCACCAACAAGACGATCGAGCTGCTCATGTATGACTACATGCCGAACGGTAGCCTCGCGGACTTCCTGCAAGAAAAGAAGACGGCAAACAACTGGGAGATCAGATACAAGATCGCTCTAGGAGCAGCGCAAGGACTTTCATACCTCCACCACGACTGCGTGCCAGCGATCCTCCACCGGGATATCAAGCCGAACAACATCTTGCTGGATTCCAGATACGAGCCTTACGTCGCCGACTTTGGCCTCGCAAAACTCATCGGCTCTTCCACCTCTGCGGCCGATCCCATGTCCAAAGTTGCCGGATCATATGGCTACATTGCTCCAGGTACCACTTTGTTCTTCCTCCGTCTTTTCGGTCGAGAAAGTTGGCTGATCGATCGTCTTCGTACGTACTTGCAGAGTATAGCTACACGCTCAAGATCTCTGAGAAGAGCGACGTTTACAGCTATGGAGTAGTGCTGCTGGAGCTACTGACCGGCAGAGAGGCTGTCGTTCAGGACATCCACATCGTGAAATGGGTCCAGGGAGCTCTCCGTGGCAGCAATCCCAGCGTGGAAGTCCTGGACCCGAGGCTGCGAGGAATGCCGGACCTCTTCATCGACGAGATGCTCCAGATCCTCGGCGTGGCGCTGATGTGCGTGAGCCAGCTCCCGGCCGATCGACCGTCGATGAAGGACGTAGTGGCATTCCTCCAAGAGGTGAAGCACATCCCGGAGGAGGCATCGAGCATCAAGGTCCCAGCCGCCGCCCCTGCCGCCGCCGCCGGCGACCAGCTCTCGGATCAAATGCCCCTATTTTGCAAGAATCGCACCGCCAGCACCTACGAATTCGTGTTCGATGACAACAGCAGCTCGCAATCCGGGGGATGCTGATGGCCGATCGCGAAGGAGCGCTGCGCCGCGCGAGATGATGATCCATCGTGAACCCAAGAAAATTTTGCTCGAATGGAAGAACCCTAAAGTGTACGGTCGCTTTGTAAAATTAAATTCTTTTACGCCCTTTGTCACTTGGTAGGGTGTCATTCCAGGGTTAGGGAGCTAGGTTTCTTCGAGCGCGCAAGGGCGGTGCGAGTGGATCTTTTTCATCGCTCCTCCTCCTGGATAGATCGATCTCTGGAGTAGCGGCAGCACAGCGCGCAGCTCGGCTCCCGCCATGGCGCCGCGGCCCGACGACGAGTACGATTACCTCTTCAAGGTCGTGCTCATTGGCGACTCGGGCGTCGGGAAATCCAACTTGCTCTCCAGATTCACGCGCAACGAGTTCTGCCTCGAGTCCAAATCCACAATCGGGGTCGAATTCGCGACGCGCACGATCCAGGTAACAAAGAATTCTCTCTTTCCCTCTTTTCTCATCTCAAATTCCTTCTTTCTATGGTGGTTGTGTTCTTCCCGGACGGATGGAACTCTAGGTGGATGGCAAGACGATCAAAGCCCAAATCTGGGACACGGCCGGGCAAGAGCGCTACCGCGCCATCACCAGCGCCTACTACCGGGGCGCGGTGGGGGCGCTGCTCGTCTACGACATCACCAAGCAGGCCACGTACGAGAACGTCGAGCGGTGGCTCAAGGAGCTGCGCGACCACGCCGACTCCAACATCGTGATCATGCTGGTGGGCAACAAGTCGGATCTAAAGCACCTCCGTGGCGTCGCCACCGACGACGCGCAGCGCTTCTCCGAGAAGGAGGGCCTGTCCTTCATCGAGACGTCGGCGCTGGAGGCCACCAACGTGGAGAAGGCGTTCCAGAGCATCCTCACGGAGATCTACCGGATAGTGAGCAAGAAGGCGCTGGCGTCCGAGGATCCCGTGCTCGTCGGGCCTGGAGAGGGCAAGGCGATCATCGTCGGGCCCGAGCAGGATGCGAACACCAAGAAGAAGGCGTGCTGCTCGACGTAGAGTGGCGAGATCCATCGTCGCCCATCGCCAGGTTCTCCAGTTCCACCATTCCATCCATCGCAGGGGATCGGTGGATCGATTGATCGTCGCTGGCGGGAAGAACGAAACGAAGGACTGGATTCTTTTTCCTATTTTGAGGTTTTACTGGAAGCGTAGAGTCGATGTAAACAATCTTTAAGTAGTGTGTGGTTCTTTTGCCTTTTAAATGATTTTATAGGGGTCTTACATTGCCTTTTAAAAATTTACCTTTAGCATTTCCAGGGTTTAGGGTTCTTGGAACTTTTAGCCTTTAGGGTTCTTGTGACCCTTTGGGGTTCTTGGGAATGATCCGCTCTTCCGGATTTGCGGCAGCGGCGGCGGGCGATCGGCGGCTGGGCGCGTGTAGATTCTACTACCGGGGCGCATGGCGGACGCGCAACACGATGCTGGAGCGGTTCTACCGCCATTCCTGCAGCAAGGATGCGCAGAGCGCGCTGGTTCTTCTCACGTCCTTGCGGGGCGATGCCGAGAGGCTGGATGCGACGAGCAGGGAGAGGCTGCCTCGGCTGCTCAAGGAGGATCTCCTGTCAATGCTGCACACTCTGCTGGAGAAGGGGCAGATGGAAGTCGCGAGCAAGGTGAACCGAGGATGATCACCGATCCAGTGCTGATTCCGGAGAGAGATTTTGCCCTCCCAGGTGTTCTATCACATCCACCGCGAGGACTGGTACCGCCCGGAGCGCAAATTCTACGACGTCCTGGTGCGCTCGTTCGCGCGGGGCTCCAATTTCTCGGCGCTGGAGAAGATCCTGGACGAGATGGAGCTCCGGGGATGCAAGCTCAAGCGGCTCATGTCGATCGAGCTCATGGAGGCGTGCGTCGCCGCCGGGCAGCAGCCGCTGGCGTTTAAGATCTTTGCGGCGCTCAAGTCGGATCCCAGCGTCCCCCGCGCCAAGGTCTACTGGAAGCTCATCGACAGCCTCAACCGCGCGGGGGAATTCGAGGCCTCGCTCAAGTTGGAGGAGGAGCTCCACGATTCGGCCGGGAAGAAGAAGCGCCGGGATCACTCGGCCAAGGAGGTCCACGCCTTGGAACCCTGGGCGAGCTAGATTTAAATTCTCGAATCTTCTAGGCATCTTTTCGATCAGTGGTTCGAATCTTGGAGCTAGCGATCCTCGTCCACAGGCAATGTGGTCTTCTCCTGACCACCACGCCCTAGCTACAAATTAATCGTTCTTTTTATTTTGCCACGACAAGGGTTTTTGCGCGGCACTGTTCATCCCTCGGGTCGGAGCGCATCGATCGCGCAGCGTAATCGTCATCATCGATCGTGGAATCTCTCAAATCCGTGAGTGCCGCGCTCTTTCCTCTTGTTGATTGAAGTTTCATCTTTTTTTCTTCTTCCGCTCAAGGTTTCGAGGATCGCATTGTCGAGAATGGCCTCGGCGGCTTACAAGTATATCATTGTCGGTGGAGGTGTGTCCGCGGTAAGCGACGAGGCTCTCATGAGCTTGATTTTTTGAGTGACTGGCTTTTGTGGATGAATCCAGGGGTATGCCGCTAGAGAATTTGTGAATCAGGGCATCAAATCGGGAGAGCTCGCAATTATCTCCAAGGAAGCGGTATGAGACTAGAACTCTATTGCTGTAAAGAGTTTTAACCCGATCTCTCGAATTCTCGCAGGTTGCTCCATACGAACGCCCTGCGCTGAGCAAGGCGTACCTCTTTCCCGAGAACGCTGCACGGCTTCCAGGTTTCCATGTTTGTGTGGGCAGTGGTGGCGAGCGGCTAGCTCCAGAATGGTATGCTGAGAAAGGTAAGGTCTTTCTAATTTTTTTTTTCTTTTCTCATTAGACTTTGATAAGTTTGCGGGATGGATTTGCTTCTGACATAAATAATTCCAGGGATTGAGCTCATTTTGGACACGGAAGTTGTGAAAGCTGACATTGCAACGAAGACTTTGACAACCTCCGCTGGAAACTCTTTTAAATATGATGTGCTTGTTGCTGCTACGGGATCAACGGTATGCCTTGGGAAACTTGACACGTTCATTTACACCTGTTTTCCTTTCAGTTCATTAAGCTGTCAGACTTTGGTGTTGCTGGAGCCGATTCTAAAGGAATTTACTACTTGCGTGAGATCAGAGAGGCTGATTCCCTGATTGAAGCCATCAAATCCAAGAAAGACGGTCATGCGGTCGTTGTTGGTGGTGGCTACATTGGTTTGGAATTGGCTGCGGTTCTGACCATGAACAAGCTACAAGTTACTATGGTTTATCCTGAACCATGGTGCAGTACGTATACGTGTTCTGTCTTTTACCAGTAGTTCTTACGCTTGTTTTTCTTTGACAAGTGCCCCGGCTTTTCACTTCCGACATTGCGAGCTTTTACGAGGGTTACTACCTAAGCAAAGGTGTGAAGATAGTTAAAGGAACGGTTGCTTCTGGTTTCGAGCTCGACGCGGAGGGTCACGTAAGTGGAAAAGGTCATCAAGTTATGTCTTGACGGGCAAATTGCTTGTGCAGGTTACAGCCGTGAAATTGAAGGATGGAAGGGAGTTGGCGGCGGACATTGTGATTGTCGGTGTCGGTGCTAGACCCCTCACTACGCTATTCAAGGGACAGCTTGAGGAAGAGAAAGGAGGCATCAAGGTAAGTAGAATTAATTCTTGTCAGATTCTTAGACGTATTATTTTTGCAGGTGGACGGGTTTTTCAAAACGAATAACGAGGATGTCTACGCAGTTGGAGATATCGCAACGTTTCCGATGAAAATCTATGGAGAGCAGAGGAGAGTTGAGCACGTCGATCACTCCAGAAAATCAGCTATTCAAGCTGTGCAGGTAAGTCACGGTGTGCTCAAATATTTGTTGCTTAACGCTCCTCTTCTGCAGGCAATCAAGGCCAAGGAAGAAGGTCGTTCCATCCCGGAGTATGACTACCTCCCCTTCTTTTACTCCCGTGCTTTCGATCTGTCGTGGCAATTCTATGGTGACAACGTCGGTGAAACGGTCAGTTTTGGAAGAGACGAAGCTGCTGCTACCAAGAAGTTTGGAGGCTACTGGGTGAAGGATGGCAAAGTCGTGGGTGTTTTCCTGGAGGGAGGATCTGCTGAAGAGAACAAGGCCATCGCCAAAGTTGCAAGACTACAGCCGAGCATAGACAGCATTGAGGCTCTCGCTTCTGAAGGTCTTGCTTTCATTTCGAAGGTTTGATTCACATTTGCAATTGTGGCTATAACAAACAATTAATATTCTTTCTCTTTGAGCTCCTTTTCTGTTGATGTTATTCTTATTCGGCTGTGAACACGATCAACAGTGGCAAGACAGCTTTACGCTGTTGAAGTGGCCTGCGTCCTTTATCTTTTTAAATTTGGTAGTGTTTCTTTTGGCTGTGGGCAACACAGATATCGCCGTATCGGAGTTCTATGGCGATTTCTTACAAGTATATCGTTCTTGGAGGCGGTGTTGGTGCGGTGAGTTCTACCACTATAAATGTTCTACTTACATCAGTTTTTCCTACAGGGGTACGCTGCAAGAGAGTTTTCTCGTGAAGGAGCCAGGAGCGGGGAAGTGGCCATTCTTTCGAAGGAGGCTGTAAGTTTTCCAGATCTCACATTTTGGTAGTCTGAACCGTTTTATCAACAACCAGGTTGCTCCATACGAGCGTCCAGCACTGAGCAAAGGCTACTTGTTCCCCCGAGATGCTGCGAGACTGCCTGATTTTCATGTCTGTGTGGGAAGCGGCGGTGAGCAGCAAGATTTCAAGTGGTATGCGCAAAGAGGTACGGAAAAACTCCGCCTTCGTCTTTGATGGCTTTTGCTGCTTTGTTTCTGCAGGAATTGATCTGATCCTAAACACAGAAGTTGTGAAAGCGGATCTTGCTGCGAAAGCTTTGACGACGTCAGAAGGCCATGTCTACAACTATGACATTTTAGTCGTCGCTACAGGATCAACAGTAAGAAAAACTGGTCGTTAGTGTTCATGATCGTCTTTGTCATCTCAGGTTATCAAGCTACCACACTCTGACGCAGCTGGCATTCACTATCTGCGAGGGATTGATGAGGCCGAGGCTCTGGTGGAAGCTATGAGCAAGGCCAAGGAATCGTCCAGGAACGCTATTGTTATCGGGGGAGGCTACATGGGAATGGAGCTTTCCGCGGCGCTGATAACGAACGAATTTAAGGTGACAATGGTTTATCCAAAACCTTTCTGCAGTAAGTATCTGGAATTCTCTCGTTTCTTGAATAATTTCTTCGTCTTGCCAGTGCCAAAGCTTTTCACTGCGGACATTGCTAGCTTTTACGAAGAATTCTATCAAGCAAAAGGTGCCACGATTGTGAAAGGAGGACGAGCATCTGGATTTGAGTTGGACTCGCAGGGTCACGTAAGTTTTTGTTTTGTTTGTTTTTCTAATTTTTTTAAAGACATCAAGTTCTTCGCTTTTACGATGCCCCAGGTCAAGGCCGTGGTATTGAGCGATGGAAGGAAACTGGACGCCGACATTGTGATTGTTGGCATCGGAGCCAAGCCACTCACGGGACTTCTAAGCGGACAAGTCGACGAAGAGCAAGGCGGCATAAAAGTACGTAGTTCTTACAAAAGTTTCCATGATTTCACAAGCAAGAACTCAGGTGGACGGATTCTTTGAGACAAGCATCGAGAACGTGTACGCGGTGGGAGATATTGCAACCTTCCCGCTAAAGCTCTACGGTGATATGAGAAGAGTGGAGCACGTAGATCACGCGAGAAAATCAGCCATTCAAGCCGTCCAGGTATTCCAAGTTCCTGAAAAAAAAAAGAGTAGTGATTTCATGCAAAGTTATGGTGGTATTCCAGGCTATCAGAGCGAAGGAAGAAGGCCGCTCCATCGCACCATACGACTACGTTCCCTTCTTCTACTCGCGCGTCTTCGATCTCTCGTGGCAGTTCTATGGCGACAATGTTGGCGACGCCGTGATCTTCGTAGCAAAGGCGAGAAAGTTTGGTTGCTACTGGGCGAGAGACGATCGAATCATGGGTGTTTTCCTCGAGGGAGGATCCCCGGCAGAGAACCAAGAACTCGCAAAGGCAGCGAGAGAACAACCGAACGTGGCAGAGTTTCTAGCTGGGTGGAATCGAGCCACAGATTGAATAGAGCATATACTTTCTAACGGACTAGAGCATAATGGAAATTAGGGTTCTTGCGTGAGAGGGTTTTAGGGTTTATGCGTCTCCGCGATGGCGACGACGCAATGCCGCGGCAAGGCGGCCTCCATCGCCAAGGAGGCGGCGGCGGCTGCGCAAGCCGGGATGGCCACGGCCAGGGAGAAGCTGCCTCGGCCGATCGCACGCACGGAGCTCAACGGTGTGCTGGCCACGGATTGCGTGATGCAGTTTGGGGAGTACAAGGGGCGGAGCCTCGGATCGCTGCCGAGCGGCTACCTCGGCTACCTTGCCTCCAACCTCAGGTACCGCGATGGCGTCAAGCAAGAATGCGCGCAGCTAGCCGAGGGCGTGCTCCAGCTCCGTCGCGATTACCGCGCGTCCCAGGTCCATCTCAAGTACCGCATCATCCACGCCGTCGACAGGAGCTTGAAGAGATCCAGCGCGGGCAATGCCCTGGCAGAGATTGATCGGCAGAACGTGAGCGATCCAGCGCTAGTCTATGGATCGCTCCTCCGCCGGTGCTGCCGCCACAAATCCCTGGAAGAAGGTAGGAGAGTCCACAAGCACATTGCCGAGAATAATCTCATGGTGAACAGGTACCTGGGCAACTTGGTGGTACACATGTATGCCCGGTGTGGCAAGTTCCAAGATGCCAAGGCGGTGTTCGACTCCATCGCCAGCAAGAACGACAGGACTTACGCGATCATGATCGCGGCGTGCGTGAGGGAGGACCGTCCCTTGCAAGCGCTGGAGCTCTGGGGGGAGATGGAGGAGCGAGGCATCGTCGCGGACAAGTTTATAGTGACGAGCTTGGTGGCGGCTTGCACCAAGCTCCAGGCGCTCGAGGAGGGGCGGCGGCTCCACGAGCACCTGATCATCACGGGCTTCCGGACGGACATCCCGCTCGAGACGGCCTTGCTCCAGATGTATGCTAAGTGTGGCAGCCTCGACGATGCGAAGAGGGTGTTTGAGGGGATGGAGATCAAGGACTTGTTCGCGTGGTCGTCGATCATCTCGGCGTATGCTCGCGCCGGGCGGGGAGAGATGGCGGTGGTGCTGTACAGGAGGATGATCGCCGAGGGGGTGGAACCCAACGTGGTGACTTTCGCTTGCGCTCTTGGTGGCTGTGCTAGTGTTGCGGGCCTGGCTGATGGACGAGCGATCCACCAGAGGATTCTAGCGTCCAAGGTTCCGCAGGACGATGTTCTACAGGACTCGCTGCTCAACATGTATCTCAAGTGTGACGAGATGGTGGAGGCCAGGAAGGTGTTCGAGGGGATGAAAGCCAGGAACGTCAGGTCCTACACGGCGATGATATCGGCCTACGTCCAGGCTGGGGAGCACGCGGAAGCTCTGGAGCTCTTCTCCAGGATGAGCAAGGTGGAGGCTATCGAACCGAACGCTTATACGTTCGCCACCATCCTGGGTGCTGTTGAAGGGCTGGGGAACTTGGAGAAGGGGAGGAAGGTCCACAGGCACCTGGCTTCGCGGGGATTCGACACGAACGTTGTCGTCCAGAACGCGCTGGTGACAATGTATGGGAAGTGTGGGAGCCCGGTGGAAGCTCGGAAGGTCTTCGACTCCATGACGGCTAGGAACGTGATCTCCTGGACTTCGATGATCGCGGCCTACGCTCAGCATGGGAATCCACAGGAGGCTCTCAACCTTTTCAAGAGGATGGACGTGGAGCCGAGTGGTGTGAGCTTCTCCAGTGCTCTCAATGCCTGCGCACTGCTGGGAGCTTTGGACGAAGGCCGAGAGATTCATCACCGAGTTGTGGAAGCCCATCTCGCGTCCCCGCAGATGGAGACTTCCTTGCTCAGCATGTACGCGAGGTGTGGAAGCCTGGACGACGCGAGGCGCGTGTTTAACAGGATGAAGACGAGAGACGCCTTCTCTTGCAATGCGATGATCGCCGCCTTCACACAGCACGGTCGTAAGAAACAGGCACTGAGGATTTACAGGAGGATGGAGCAGGAAGGTATTCCAGCCGACGGAATCACGTTCGTGAGCGTCCTGGTTGCTTGCAGCCATACTTCACTCGTGGCTGATTGTCGAGATTTCTTCCAGTCTTTGGTGATGGACCACGGGGTGGTACCATTGGTGGAGCACTACCTTTGCATGGTGGACGTTCTGGGCCGCTCGGGAAGACTGGGAGATGCCGAAGAGCTTGTGGAAACTATGCCATATCAAACAGACGCAGTGGCCTGGATGACTTTACTGTCGGGTTGCAAGCGCCACGGTGACTTGAATCGTGGCGAGAGAGCCGCCAGGAAAGTTTTCGAGCTAGCACCGGCAGAGACTCTCCCTTACGTCTTCCTCTCCAACATGTACGCCGCTGCCAAGCGATTTGACGACGCTCGAAGAGTCCGGAAGGAGATGGAGGAGCGCGGAGTGACGACGCCAGTGGCAGTAAGCTACATCGAGATTGACAACGAGCTACACATGTTTACGAGTGGTGGTAGAGACGAGCAGCAGGAGGGTCACGACGGCCGGACGATGGAGAGGGTCCGGTCCCTGCTGCTGGAACTTTTAGAGCCCATGAAGCAAGCTGGATACGTCCCCGACACGAGGGAAGTTTACTTGGAGCAGCAGGGTGGCACAAGCGAGGAGGAGAAACAACGTAGCCTGTGCTTCCACAGCGAAAGGCTTGCCATCGCCTACGGACTGATCGCTGCCAAAGATCCAGACGATTCTCGTCCGCTGAGAGTCGTCAACAGCCACCGGGTGTGCTCCGACTGCCACTCTGCGATCAAGCTCCTCTCAGATATCATTGAGAAGACGATTTTTGTGAGAGATGGGAACCGGTTCCACCACTTTGAGAAGGGAGCCTGCTCGTGTGGGGATCACTGGTGAAGTTACGTTTCTTTATGTTTCACGTACAGAGTTGGCGGGGACAAAGTCAGAGCAAGAAAATCGTGCCGGATAAAGGTAGGTCGCAAAGTCAAGTTCAAATCGTGGCGCACCTTGACTGACTGATGGATTGCAGGGCTCTCCATCAAAATCCGGAAGAGGAGTGAAGTAGTAACAAGTTGCAGATGATGGAACTCATGATATGGCTGATCCTGTTGAGCACGCTTGGATCCTCTACAGCGTCACTCAACGCACACAAAGCTGGGGTCTTGGTTGCATTGAAAAGGAGCCTCCTAGGACTGGGAAACACCTCAGACTGGACTGTGGAATACTCCGATCGAGCATGCACCGACTGGAAGGGAGTGATTTGCAACAGTGACGATTCAGAGGTGGTGGAGCTTCATCTGGCAGGAAATGGATTCACAGGTGAGATCTCGTCGCCAGCACTCGGGCAGCTGACGAGTTTGCGAGTCTTGGACGTGAGCAAAAACCGGCTGGTCGGATCTCTTCCTGCGGAGCTCGGGCTGCTGCAAAGCTTGCAAGCTTTGGACGTCTCGGGTAACAGACTGACTGGGAGCTTGCCTCGGGATCTCGGCAACTGCAGCGCTCTTCGTTTTCTCAACGCCCAGCAAAACCAGCTTCAAGGTCCGATACCGCCCCAGCTGGGAGCGCTCCAGAGGTTGGAGATACTCGTCCTGGACAACAACCGCTTGTCAGGTTCTCTTCCTCCGTCCCTTGCGAACTGCTCGAAGCTCCAGGAGATTTGGCTGACGAGCAATGATGTTGAAGGTGGGATTCCGCAGGAAGTCGGGGCTATGCAGGAGCTGCGAGTATTCTTCGTGGAGAGAAACCGGCTGGAAGGGCTCATTCCACCAGTTTTTGCAAACTGCTCGTCTCTCGAGCTCTTGGCGCTCGGGGAGAATTCTCTGGGCGGGAGGATACCAGATGAGCTTGGACGGCTCGAAAACTTGGTGGCGCTCTCACTGTATAGCTTGCAGTGGCTGGAGGGGCCAATTCCTCCTGAGATCGGCAACAACAGCAAGCTCGAGTGGTTTGATATCAACGGAAACTCGCTCATGCATGGCTCGATTCCAGTGTCGCTGCTTCAGCTCCCGCGCTTGGCCACCTTGCAACTCTTTCGTTTCAACAACACCTCAGACCGTCCGGTCCCGGAACAGCTCTGGAACATGACTCAGCTCGAGTTTCTGGGAATCGGGAGGACAAACAGCCAAGGGATCCTGTCACCGATCGTCGGAAACTTGACAAGGCTTCGGTCGCTGGAACTCAACGGGAACCGCTTTGAAGGAAGCGTTCCAGACGAGCTCTCCAAGTGTCCCAGGATGGAGACGCTGATCCTCTCCAACAACAGACTCCTGGGAGGCGTTCCTCGATCGCTTGGCACGCTTGAGCGTCTCAGACTTTTAATGCTCGATGGAAACCAGCTCTCCGGAGCAATACCAGAGGAGCTCGGGAACTGCACCAACCTGGAAGAGCTGGTCCTCGAGAGGAACTTCTTCCGTGGAGCAATACCAGAGTCCATCGCCTGGATGGCAAAGCTTCGGAGTTTGCTCCTCTACGGAAACCAGCTCTCCGGAGTGATTCCAGCTCCAGCTTCGCCAGAGATAATCGACATGAGGCTGCACGGCAACAGTTTTTCAGGCTCCATCCCTCCCTCCGTTGGCAACCTTTCCAAACTTTCCATACTCTATCTCTCCAACAACAAGCTGGACGGCTCCATCCCGGCCACTCTCGGACAGCTTCGACGATTGACACAGGTGGATTTCTCTGAGAACCAGCTCACGGGTGGTATTCCTGGCAGCCTCGCAAAGTGTGACTCCTTGCAGCTACTGGATCTATCCTCCAACCTCCTGAGTGGAGAGATTCCGGCGTCCATCGGTGAATGGACCGGCTTCCAGACCGCGGACAAGAGCCAGGCTCTCAACATATCGTCCATGACACCGGCGGGAGTGTTTCCAGAGAACTCCACCGATGCATACCGAAGAACTGTGTCCGAGGATATGGCTGCCGCCTTGGATGGACACACGTACCAGCAATACGCAAGGGAGTTGGAGGTGCCAGGAGTGCTCGACTTGTCGGCGAACCAGCTCACTGGTGAGATTCCCGCAAGCTTGGGAAAGCTGGCTGGAGTCCGGGAGCTCAACTTGTCACACAACCGACTGTCTGGAGGCATTCCATGGACTCTGGGAGAAATGACGTCCATGACAGTGCTGGATCTCTCTTTCAACCGGATCAACGGGACGATACCAGGGGGACTGGCGAGGCTTCCCTTGCTCAAGGATCTGAGGGTCGTGTTTAATGACTTGGAAGGCAAGATTCCAGAGACTCTGGAGTTTGGCGCGTCGAGCTACGAGGGAAATCCAGGACTGTGCGGGGAGCCTCTCTCCCGGCCGTGCGAAGGAGATGGCCTCGTGGACGTGGGCGATGGTGCAACTTGGTGGAAGGAGAACGTCTCCAATGGGGCGTTTGTAGTGGGATTTCTTGGTGGGTTCTTCACGATGTTGTGGAGCGCCATCTTTTTACTTGTTTGCCAACCAGGCCAAAGAAGAAGCGAAACAAGAAGCTGGCGGTGGTGGTCAGCCTGGTCAACTCAGTGGAGGAGGTCACCGCAGGGGTCAGCGAGGTCAGCCTTCACTAGTACTACAACCTAGATTTTTATGATATTACTTTTTTGGTTTCTACTGGCTTTTAGGGTTGAAACAAATGTTGTTGCAATCGCCTCTTAAACTGAGAGCTCTTCGTTCCTAGATTACTATCTCAACTTTTGCAGTGTAAAAGTCCAGGCTCAATTCACTCTGATGGACGATAGACATGGAGCACTTCATGCAAGACTGAATACGAGGCTCTGTTTTTGAGGAGCTTTCCGTTGCTTACGTACTGCTTGGAGCTATGCTTCCTTGCTCAGCATGTACGCGAGGTGTGGAAGCCTGGACGATGCGAGACGCGTGTTTAACAGGATGAAGACGAGAGACGCCTTCTCTTGCAATGCGATAATCGCCGCCTTCACACAGCACGGTCGTAAGAAACAGGCACTGAGGATTTACAGGAGGATGGAGCAGGAAGGTATTCCAGCCGACGGAATCACGTTCGTGAGCGTCCTGGTTGCTTGCAGCCATACTTCACTCGTGGCTGATTGTCGAGATTTCTTCCAGTCTTTGGTGGACCACGGGGTGGTACCATTGGTGGAGCACTACCTTTGCATGGTGGACGTTCTGGGCCGCTCGGGAAGACTGGGAGACGCCGAAGAGCTGGTGGAAACTATGCCATATCAAGCAGACGCAGTGGCCTGGATGACTTTACCTGTCGGGTTGCAAGCGCCACGGTGACTTGAATCGTGGCGAGAGAGCCGCCAGGAAAGTTTTCGAGCTAGCACCGGTAGAGACTCTCCCTTACGTCTTCCTCTCCAACAGGCTGCCAAGCGATTTGACGACGCTCGAAAAGTCCGGAAGGAGATGGAGGAGCGCAGAGTGACGACGCCAGTGGCAGTAAGCTACATCGAGATTGACAACGAGCTACACATGTTTACGAGTGGTGGTAGAGACGAGCAGCAGGAGGGTCACGACGGCCGGACGATGGAGAGGGTCCGGTTCCTGCTGCTGGAACTTTTAGAGCCCATGAAGTAAGCTGGATACGTCCCCGACACGAGGGAGTTTACTTGGAGCAGCAGGGTGACACAAGCGAGGAGGAGAAACAACGTAGCCTGTGCTTCCACAGCGAAGGCTTGCCATCACCTACGGACTGATCCAGACGATTCTCATCCGCTGAGAGTCCTCAACAGCCACCGGGTGTGCTCCGACTGCCATTCTGCGATCAAGCTCCTCTCAGATATCACTGAGAGGAGGATTTTCGTGAGAGATGGGAGCCGGTTCTACCACTTTGAGAAGGCAGCCTGCTCGTGTGGGGATCACTGGTGAAATTACGTTTGTTTCAACATATGTCCACGTGGTGGACGTTAAAGTATTAATTTGGCATTCTTAAAAAAAGTTTTTATGCAAACAGTGTTTGTGGTCAACATTTCATGTTTAAAATTTTCCTCTATTCTTGATGGCGCCTCCACGCCAGATATACCTCCCACATGTGAATCCTTAAAAGATCTGTAATTATAAATCTCTAACTCAACAGTAGGCACACATGGTTAATGGGTAAAATATACCTTCTGAGTTGTACAATATAATTTAATGTTTTCTCCCATTATATCTATAACTAGGTAGTGAGCGAGAGAGAGATGGAAGATGTTTTGGTTGAAAGATTGTCTAGAGTTACCAAGTTTGATTTGCCTTTCATCTCTTGTAGCATTCCCTTTGAATGCCATCCTGATTCTAGTAAGATATCCAAAGCTACCGATGAATGGGCCATTGGAATGTTATGCATCACTGATCCATATGAAAGAGAGAAAGCTATTCAGGCAAGATTTGGTTCGTTAGGCCCAGTAGCGACTCCTAGAGGAGAGAGCGGTAAAGTAGAGGTTGCATCAAAGCATTTATGGACTCTTTTTGTTCTGGATGACATTGCTGAGACAATCAGTGAGCAAGAGGGGACAAAAGCTGCTGATATTCTGCTTGAAGTTGCTAAGGGAAGCTATGTCTTGAGTGAAAAAGAGAAGCAGAAGCATCCTAGCTATGCCATGTTTGAGGAGGTGATGTCGAGCTTTCGGAGTCTCATGGATCCCCCACTGTTTGCTCGTTATATGATTTGTTTGAAAACATTTCTGGATTCTTTGGTGGAGGAGGCCTCTTTGCGATCTGCCAAATCCATCCCAAGTCTCGAGAAATATCAGTTGCTCCGGAGAGGGACAGTTTTCGTTGAAGGAGCCGGAGGCATTATGTGTGAGTTTTGCATGGATCTCAAGCTGGATAAGGGTATGGTTGAATCTCCAGATTTTGTAGCATTTGTCAACGCAGTGGCTGATCACGCCGCCCTTATCAATGACCTCTTCTCCTTCCGACACGAGATGAAAATCAAGTGCTTCCACAACTATCTCTGTGTCATCTTTTGCCACAGCCCGAATAATGCAAGCTTTCAAGAGGCTGTCGACAAAGTATGCAAAATGATCCAGGAGACCGAAGCCAAGATCCTTCAACTCCAAAAGAAGCTGATGAAGATGGGCGAGGAGACTGGGAACAAAGACCTGGTGGACTATGCAACATGGTATCCTTGTTTTACATCTGGACATCTCCGCTGGCCATGGGCTTGACAATCCGCTGCTGAACGGTGAACCATTCCATGGGACTTGGTTTCTACATCCAGAAGCCACCTTCATTCTACCATTCGGATCCAAATGTGGATTTATTAACACCAACTATTTGATGTGAATCGTTTTAATGTTATAATAAACAAGAATTTGTGTGTATGTAGGATTAAACCACTTGTAATAATATTCTTTCATAACTTTTCGAGTATAGTAGTTCACTTTAGTGGATCAGTATTAACACCTTATCCCAACCGATGATCTCCACGTTTCCAATGCTCTCAACTTCCATAAAAGTCTTGGTGGTCAACGCTGGAAAGATCTCGTCACTTCCGCTGGCATAAGTTGTCGGCCATAGATGTGGAACTGCCATGTTTGTAGGTGCTGGAGCTGCTGAAACAGCTCGGTAGATCACAGATGTCTGCTTGGAAATATTTGATCGGGTGAGCCTTTTTTTTGGTTTTCCAACTTTGGTGAGTCAGATCATTGGATCCCGCCTATATCAGCAAAAGTAGAAACAAAGAAATGTAAATGAATATGTTCGTTCAGCAGTAGTGGTTGTCCCTTTGCTTCGATAGCTTCATATCATGGGCTCTCCTGAGAACGTCAGGAAGGCTTGCTCGAGCCAATGCGCTCCAGGCATGGGATACCACGTTATCGGGGAGAGCTTGAGAGTGTATAGAGTCATCACATTTTCTGGCGATTTAATATACTAGCCCAGCACTATTAGGCTTTCTGATATCATCGTGCTCAAGCTCTCGGGTTCCAGCCATCTGGAGCCATGGCAAACGTCTATTCGAGTGTCGAGAGGCTGGTGGCCAAAGAGCTGCTCACGAATCTACGGCTCCACCGTCTTCCACTGGTGATGCAACAACTCAAAATGTTAAAGGTGGATCGGGAGCCACGAGCTACTTTCGCGATGGAAGGCGATGAAAGTTGAGAACATCGGCGACCTCGGCAATGAAAAGATTGCTATCAGTCCGGCTCGGGTAAGTGCTGGAGCTGGTTTCGAAGAATGTCCTCATGGACGATCTCGTGATCACTTTCATTTTGTGTTTTCATCGTAGATTTTTATGATATTATCTACTGGCTTTTAGGGTTGAAACAAATGTTGTTGCAAGGCAAATCACTAGGGGAGGATATATCCTGCTGCTGCTACATTTTAAACCGGCTAAGAGCTCCTTGTTCCTAGATTACTACCTCAACTTTTGCAGTGTAAAAGTCCAGGCTCAATTCACTCCAATGGAACTGATAGACCTGGAGCACTTCATGCAGATTGAATATGAGGTGCTTCGAGGCTCTGTTTTTGAGGAGCTTTCCGTTGCTTACGTACTGCTTGGAGCTATGCTGCCTAACAGTTCCTTTTTTACATTTACTATTTCTTCTTAGGTTGATGGTGTGCATAAATCTGATCCTGGCAACCATCTATCACAATGAGTTGCCAAGCTTTCTGGGCTGCCGAATCTAGCCAATCACAGCCGTTCAATGGGGGGGTAACTGTAAAAGGGTTATTTATTTGACCACGCC